GTCGGAAAACAGTTTTGTTTTGTTTTTTCTTTTTCCAGTTTGTGACTCCATGGTATCTGGTAATAGAAATCAGAACTTTTTCTGTGGAACCTTCTGGACTTCGGGATGCTGTCCATCTTCTCAGCCTCCTTCACCGCGAGGTTCATGGCCTTCCTCAAGGCCAGTGAAGCCCAGCTGTACGTGGAGCAGCACATGCCGGACGACACACTTCACAACGTCTCTCTCCCCTTTCCTTTGTTAAAAATCAGGCTTAATTTTCATACTATAAAATGCACCCATCTGTTCAGTCAGACTTAAAGATCTAGGCACCCATATAGTCACCACCAAATGAGGTGATGAACCACCACCATCACCCCCTAAAACTCTCTCAGGTCCTAGCTTTGGACCACCATGATCTCCTTTCTGTTTGTATAAATTAGTTTTTACCTTTTGTAGAATTTTATTTCAATACAATTATATAGTACATATAATCCTGTACTTGGCTTCTTTTATTTGTCAACACAATGTTCTTTTAAATTCACCCGTTTGTGCCTGAATCAGCAGTGTGCTCCTTTTTACTGATGAACATTAACCATCAATTAAAAATACATAATTTAAGTATCTGTTCACCAGTTAATGAACATTTGGCTTCTTTCCAGTTTGGCTCCACTGTGAATGACATCCCCATGGACATTCATATAAAGGTCTTTGTATGGACATACACTTCATTTCTCCTTGGTAAGCAGCTTAGAGTGAATTGGTCATATGGAAAATATATGTTTAACTTCAAAAGAAACTATCAAACATTTTCCGAAGTTGTTGAACAATTTGGCATTTCCACCAACAATGCATGAGTGTTCCAACTATTCCACAGCCTTGTCAACACTTGGTATCATCAGTCTTTTCAATTTTATCTCCTCTAGTGAGTGAGTTGTGGTATCACACTGTGGTTTCAATTCACATTTTCCTGATGACGAGTAGTGTAGAATAATCTTTTCACATCCTCATTAGCCATTCATGCATCTTCTTTTGTCAAGTGACCATTTAGATCTTTTGCTTATTTTTAAACTGGATTTTTTCTTATTATTGATTATAAAAGCACAGAGACACAATAAATACATATATAAATTATGCTGTATTATATTCTGAACATGCTGAATACAAGTCCTTTTTCAGGTGTATATATAGTGATACTTTCTCCCAATCTGTGGCTGCATTTTTTTTGTATGTGTATGTCTTTTAAAGAGTAGAAGTTTTCTATTTTGATGAAATCCAATTAAAATCTTTTATGATTTATGCTTTTTACATCCTAAGAAAACTTTGCAAACTCCAACATAGCAAAGAGTTTTTCTTTTAGAAGTTTTAGCTTTTACATTTAGGTCCACCACACATTTTGAGTTAGTTTTTGTGCATGATGTGAAGAAAAGGTTGAGGTTCACACTTTTCCCATATTAGTCCAGAGTGTTCCAGCATCATTTGTTAAAAATATTTAACCTTTCCCCTATTGATTGCATTGACCCCTTTGTTGAACATCACTTGACTACACGCGTGAATCTTTCTGCACTCTCCAATGGCACACTACAGCAGTGGGATTTTCATATTTATATGAAAATGTAAGGGTCCCTTCAAGGTAAGATAACCTTGAAGAAGACAATATCAGAGAGATTGGCCCTATAGTAATTAGAGCAGTGTAGTATAGACACAAAAATAAACAAATCACACAAGTGAACATAAGAGAGTCAGAAACAGTCTAATATACAAGGTGGGGCAAAAGTAGGTTTATAGTTGTTCACATGGAAAATAATACATATTTTTGTATTATTAATACAAGAATAAACTGTGCTTCATGTAGTCATGATTGTAAACCTACTTTTACCCAACCTTGAATATATAGTCACCTGAATTACAGTAAACATTCTAGTGTGATTCATTGGGCAGATAATGGGCTTTACAATGAATAAAGTTGTGGTGAAATACATGAACCTTACCCCTACCTCACAACCATACAGAGAATTAATTCAAATGGACCATAGAGATAAATGTGAATAATAAAAGTGGTACAGCTTCCAGAAGAAAACTTGGGAGACCATCTTCATCAATGTTGGATTAACAATGATTTCTTTTTTTTTATTATTGTTGTTCAGTTACAGTTGTCCCTGTTTTTCCCCATTACTCTCCCCTGCCCTACCCACCCCCCACTTCCCACATTCAATCCTCCCCTGCCCCATGGTCTTTGTCCTTGGGTCCCTTATACATGTTCCTTGACTTGACCCTTCCCTTTCTTTCTCCCATTATCCCCCTCCCTACTCCTCTCTGCTTACTGTCAGTTTGTTCTTTATTTCCATGTCTCTGTTCTATTTTGCTCACTTGTTTGTTTTGTTGATTAGATTTCACGTATAGATGGAGATCATATATTTGTCTTTCACTGCCTGGTTTATTTCACTTAGCACAATGCTCTCCAGTTCCATCCATGCTGTCGCAAATGGTAGGAGTTCCTTCTTTCTTCCTGTTGCATAGCATTCCATTGTGTAAATGTACCACAGTCTTTTAATCCACTTATTTACTGATGGGCACTTAGGCTGTTTCCAGCACTTGGCTATTGTAAATTGCACTGCTGTGAACATTGGGGTGCATAGATTCTTTTGAATTGGTGTTTCAGAATTCTTAGGGTATAATCCAAGCAGCAGAATTGCCAGGTCAAAAGGCAGTGCAGATGGCATAATAGTGTACATAGAAGACTCTATAGACTCCACCAAAAAACTACTTGACCTGATAAGTAAAGTTGGCAAAACAGCAGGATACAAAGTCAATATTCAGACATCAAAGGCATTTTTGTACATCAACAATGAAATATCAGAAACAGAAATTAGGGGGTAAATCCCATCTGCAATAGCAATGAGAAAAATAAAGTACCTAGGAATAAATCTAACCAAGGAGGTAAAAGAATTATATGCAGAACACTACAGAACACTGAAGAATGAAATTAAAGAAGATGCAAATAAATGGAGGCATATACCATGTTCATGGATTGGAAGAATTAACATCATCAAAATGTCCATACTACCCAAAGCAATTTATAGATTCAACACAATCCCTATTAAAATACCAATAACATACTTCACAGATACAGAACAAACATTTCAAAAATTTGTATGAAACCATAAACAACCCCAAATAGCCTCAGCAATTTTGAGAAAGAAGAACAAAGTAGGAGGGATCACAATATCTGATATCAAACTATGTTACAAGGCTACTATACTCAAAACAGTCTGGTACTGGCATGAGGATTTACAAAGATTTCTTGAACAGGATACAGAAAGTTCCACCCATAAAAGAAAATATTAATAAATTAATTTTCATTCAAATTGAGAACTTTTATTCCACTGAAAGGCATTCAGAGATTAAAAGGGCAAACTACAACCTGGACATAGTTATTACCATTAAATGCATTCAACAAAAGACTTATACTTGGAGTTCCCTCAAATTAATACTAAAAACCAAACAATCCAATCTTTACAAGCCTGACGATTTGAACAGGATCTTCCCCAAAGTGATTATTTAAATGGTCAATAGCCTGTCTCATGGTGCTCAGTGTTGCTGCCACTTAGGGAAATACAAATTGGAACCACAGTGAGATACAACTACATACCTACAGACTGGCTCAAACTGAAAAGGCTGGCACTGTCGAGTGTGGACCAGGATGTAGAGCAGCCGGAAAGTTCCCCCACGGCTGGTGAGAGGGCAAACGAACCACTGCTTTGTGAAACCATTCCATAGTTTCTAATGCAAGGCGCACATACACTGGGAGCTGCAACTCTCGCCCCTGGATAGTTAACCTAACAGAGGTACACATCGGGCACCAACAGGCATGTGTAAGAATGACCTCAGCAGCAGAACCACTAGAAACCACACCAACGACATAGACAGGGAATAACCCATGGTGCCCGCATCTCATAGAACCCTACCCAGCAATGCAGCGCTCTCACTGTGGCTACACACAGTAATGTGGACTAATTTCATAGATGTAATTTTGGGCAAAAGAAACCGGACAGCAAAGAGTACCTGCTGTACAGTTGTATTTGTATAAGATTCAAAAACAGGCTTAGTTGATGTACAAGTTCGTAGAGCGGTTACCTTTTTAGGGGAGGGAGAGACAACTAGGAGGCTGGGTGGGGCCGGAGGACAGGGCAGCTCCTGAAGTCCTGGCAAAGTTCCAGGGCGGGGTTACTCAGCTTTGACACTGTTGGTGTACTGGGCTGGACCCTTGTTTGCTCCCACCCGCCCTGCAGCATCCCTGGCCTCCTCAAAGGCTGGATGCCAGTAACAAACACCCCCGCCTCACTGGGACAACCAGAACTGTCCCCAGGCATGGCCGTGGACCCTGGGGGAGGGGGGCCAGAATTCTCCCAGTTGAGGACCACTGATTTATTGCTGGTCCTGGGGGGGTTAGGGGTGTATGCTCACTTTATGGAAATTCACTGAGCTGCACACATACAATTCAGCAAGCTTCCTACACACGTAAAAACTTTTTTAAACTTCAGCATTTTAAAATTGGAAAAAATAAGTCAATGAATACTTAAAGGACCAAAAGTTTTAGAGGGAGAATGGAAAATAGGTACAGTGCTGTGTAATATCTTGTCTGCACATAAGGAGGCTGGGATCCAGGGCGTGAGGGATTCTGCAGCAGGGGGCCTCAGGGGAGAGCCCCCGCCCCAGCTCCTGCTTCCTCGCCTCTCCCCCTTACCCCTTCTCATGCAGACTTGCTCCCAATGCAGCCCACGACTGAGCAAAGGCTGGGTCTACACAGGGACCTCTGGAACCCGAACCCCACTGTGGGAACAGGGTTGATGGATGCTGCTCCCCAGCACCCTGCAAAAAGAATTCTGAAAACCAGTATCTTGAGCAAACAGGATATTAGCTTTTGTCAGAAAGATCAAAAAAAGTCTTGAGGTTTTTCTTCACAGCCTCAGCCTCTCCCTCTCTGGCTTCATCTGCTCATTTCAGCGTGCAGGCAGGAAGAGATGGCAGCCGGGGAGACGCAGGTCTACGCAAAGGTCAACAGCAAGCTCAAGGGCCGCAGTGCCGCCTCGCTCCTGGACCCCCTGGTGGGGATGGGCTTCCCGGCACACACCGCGTGAGTACGGCCCCATGGGCGCCTGCCCCTGCCTCCCAGCCTGGCCCTTCTGAGGTCCCTGCCGCAACACAGCGGGCGGCTCAGAGCACCTACTTCCTGTAGAAACGGTGTCCCTGGAAGGGTGAGATACTGGCTCTACATCAGGCGCTTCTCTGCCTTTTATAAACCATATGATCAGGGCAAACTCTGCTGGCTGGTTGGTGGGGGGCCTGGATTTGTGGAAATGAGAGGTCAAGTGTTACAGCAGGACCCTGTTTCTCGGGGTTTGGAGGAGCTTGGGACCTGGTCATACCCTCTTTGTGAGGCAGTGCAATGACTCTGAGGTGACATTTCAAACTCTAATTTGAAAGACCCCAAAGCCCAATGAGTCTCTAATTCTATCGAGATGAGAATGTCTCCAAATGGTGCTGGTAAATCGTTTGTCCTTAGGAAAAATCTCTTGAATGTTCGATAATGGAAAAAAAAAAAAAAAAAAAAAAAGGCTAGGAAACTACTGGGTTAGCACGATCCTACTTGCCCAAGGAGAAAGTCCACATGTAGAAAACTTTACCTTTGGGAGTTACCCCTCTCGGAGAGAGAAGAAACCCCCAAAGCCATGAGCTGGGATACTTACCCTGGGTTACAGCTTCTGTGGGAAACTGATTTCTTAGAGCTGGTCCTCTCAAAGGGTTACCCACACGGAAAACACAGCAGAAGGCCCCGTGGGTGACCCTGGACTTGGAGGGGGGCAAACTGTCAAACGTTAGAACCAGTGCCCAACCACACTGGATGAAACGATGTTGAAGCTAGAGCTGTTTCTTCTGCAACCCAAACAGGACTTTGTCCTCACGTTATGTTCTCAATAAAACGGGGCCTGTGAAACGGGGAAGAGAAGTCAGCGTGAGCAGAAAGCACGCGATGTGCCAGACCCCGTCCTGAGCACTCTCCATTGGGTGCAGGCGGGGACCCTGAGGCCAGACAGGGCAGGTGAAGGTAGAGCAAGACCCGAGCCCCACTCGCTAAAGCAGGGGTGTCCAGCCCTGTGGCCTGTAGGCCGCATGCGGCCCAGGATGGCTATGAAAGTGGCCTAACACAAAATTATAAATTTACTTAAAACATTATGAGTTTTTACTTGTTACAGTCCTGATCTGTAGCATGATCGCATGTTCAAAATACCTTCTAATTTAATCATTAGCCACATGTTGCGGGTAGGAAACATGTGTTAAGTTTCTCACTAGTCTGAAGCACCCCATGCAAGGCTCCGTGCTGAGGCCTCTCTGTGGGAACCTCGCCAGGGGGCGCGTCCGTCAGCGCTGGCCTCGGAGCAACACTGGGCTGCAGCCTCCCGGCTCCTAACCACCCTCAGCTACTGCAGGCTGAACCCCTGAACAAATCCCCTCAGCCACATCCTTGCTGAACGGTTTGGTCTGGTTCAGTTAAATTCAGCTCATGTGCGTATGTCCTGGTTAAAATGCTGAGGGAGGCACAGCTGGGCCTCTGGGACCCGCAGTCTGGAAACGGAGGCAAATGGACATGATCTCATTGAGCTGATAAGCGTGTCGACCGTGTCTGCCGTGGGGAAACAGAGGGGCTGCACGTCTACCCTGCTCGGTGGTTTGAGGAGGGCTTCCTGGAGGAGGGGGTGTTCGAACTGAACATGGAAGAGCCATGGACTGTTGGCCCAGGGCCAGGTTTGGCAGGGAGACACAGGCAAGCCAGGGCTCGGGCCCTTCACAGCCGACAGCCGCATCTGAGGGTGGGTCCCTCTGGCCCTGGCGCAGGGTGCCTGGGGCATGGCGGGGGAGACGGGACTGCCGGCGTGGGTGGACCTCAGGGCACGAGCCCTTGGACTCCAGGCCAGGGATTGGAGCCGGGAGCCCTGGAAGGAAAACGAGCAGGTGTGCATTTTCCAAAACCACAGTGAGGCCGTGAAGGGGACAGAGGCCTGGGTGCCGCATGCAGCTAGGAGATGAGCCGCCGAGAGCTCCTCGTTGCAGAGGAGGGCTGCCTGAAGGCCAACATGAGGCAGGGCTGCCCCTGCCTCCCACCCTTTGCCCAAAAATGGAAGAGAAGGTTCTGAATGCTCCTCATGTTCTGCTTTCTTGTAGGCTGAAGGCGTTGGCAGCCACCGGGAGAAAGACAGCAGAAGAAGCAGCTGAGTGGTGAGTGCGGCGGTCTTCGCACGCTGGACAGTGTGTCGAGGGAGGACTCTCCAGGGGGACCCCGCGAATTGCTCGGTGCTGTCTGGACAGCGTCGGGGCGGGGGGGCCACCTCCGTGCATGCCCACCCAGCACTGAGGGAAAGGAATAAAGAGTCTGCGTTTAAAATGAAACACGAAAGAGCGAGAATCTCAACAAGGTTTCCTTCACTTAAAAATCTGATTTAATCCAACTGTGGTTGTCCAGAGAAAAGAATTCACGTGGTTTGTTGAACACAGGGGAGAGCCCTTCTGCTGGTATAAAATAGAGGCCGCCGCTCTCTCTGGCTGCCTCTGATGGGGAGAGAATTTACTGGGGTTGTGAATGTCCTCCAAGGCGTCGATTGGCATATTGCATCTTAAGAGGCGCCATGTGGCCTGGGGGCGGAACGAGGAGCTCTGGTTCCAGGCAGCACCACCACCCACAGGCTCCGTGGCTCTGCACACCGCCCACAGCCCTGGGCCTCAGACATCTTATCTGGGAATCTGGAGAAGGCACCCCGTTCTCTGAAACCCAGTCCCGCCTGAACGTGCCATGATGCCATCCTCCTGCCCCAAGGCGGGAAGTCCCCTCTCACTCTGCCCCAAAATAGCCATAGTGAAACTCAAACAGTAATAGCCGGGTCCCGCCAGGCTGCGGCGCCCTCGCAGAGCAGGATGGCGGACACCCACAGTGGGTCTCTGTGTGTCCAGCATGGTCTCCGGAGGATGCCCTTCCTCCTCCAGAAACTCTGAGCCGAGAGCCAAGCAGGCGGCCCCTCTGGGACAGAGAAACAGCAGGACCCCGGGCCAGACCAGCTCCAGGCAGCTGCACTTGAATTAGAAACCACGCCCACTGCTCTGAGGGCCCTGGCTGGTCAGCCAGTAAGACTAGGAGTCCCGCCAGGGAACTGGGAGACAGTAGGATCCCCTAGTCTCTGCCTAGAGTGGGCCCAACCTCACTCATAATCAGGGAGGTGCAAATGAAGACACCGTTAAAAACAACAGGCACCTTCACAGGTTGGGGAGGAGGAGGGGTGGTCACTTCCTTTCCTGGTTGCAATCCGGGCTGTCCATCAGCACTGAAAGTGTGCGTAGCCACCCAAACAAGCAGTTCCGAGTCTATGGCCATCCTCTGGAGAATTACAAAGGGCCTAAAAAACATATACAAAAACCTTAATTACAGTGTTAAAAAGAAAATTTAAATGCACAGCAGTGGAATGACTGTGCCAAGGTGTACATATGTCCGTAATGACATGTTGTACAGCCCAAGAAAGTTCCCGCTCAACTAGATGTATAGTTATTAATGTGGAGGAATCAAGGAAACACTGCTGAGTAAAAACTGCGAGTTATTGCCCGGGCTGGTGTGGCTCAGTTGGTTGGGCATTGGTCAGCAAAGTGGAAGGTCACCAATTTGATTCCTGGTCGGGATGCAGGCCTGGGCTGTGGGTTCAGTCCTCAGTTGGGGCGCATAGGAGAGGCAACCGATGGATGTTTCTGTCTCTCTTCCTTTCCCTCTCTCTAAAAATAAATAAAATCTTTAAAAAATGCAAGTGCAGAGTAATTCAAACAGTGGCTGATGATATAGATAAAACACACACAAGTGCTACTTATGAATATTACTCAAATGTCTGGAAGAAAACAAATCAGCTTACCCACTGAGGTTGCCTCTAGAAGGGAGGAGTGAGCCAGGGTGAAGAGGGGTGGGTGCTTCCGTTGGTATTTTTTATTATTAAGGAGATGTATGTGCATGTAAATAATGTTTTCCCAAGTGGTTGCATCCTGTGTTCTAAACTTAGTATTGTCTCACAAGCACTTTCCTGAGTCATTAGCAATTCTTCAAAACCACAATTTCTAACGAACAGATAAATAAATGTATTATCATTCATTTAGTTTTTCCTTCTTATTATAAATAACTCTATCATAAATATTTTATATGAGCAGTTTTCTTTTATACTTGTTGTTTTTCTACTTTGGTTAAGCTTCTGGAAGTAGAAATATTAGTTCAAGTGGTCTGGGTATTTTAAAGCGTTTAACATGTACCGGCAAATTGCCATACATAGAGATTGCACGAATTCATCCTTGACTCTCCCTGTACCTTTGACACAGTAGAGCCAAACTGTCACCCTTTGGAAAACATTTTGTTCATTTGACAAATGAGAAAAGTGGTTGTTTTAATTCTCATTTTTATTATTAGTAAAAATACACTGGAATTATGGGTTGTATGTTATTTTCTCTTGTTCCTGAAATAACTTTTTGTGAGTTGGAAAAAAATATGATAGGCCCCTAAATTTTGTCTCATTCTTTGTGGTGTTGATTTTTACGGTTAATTTGAAGTGTGAGATAAAATTAAAATGTGAATTTTTTTTCCACCAAATTTTCAATGCTAAGGAGCTGGCTGGACCACAGCGGTCATTTGAAGACCAGGTCCTGAGTTTCGCTGTCACCTTCCTCTCATTTTCTCGGCCTTTGACCTGGGAATCAGATGCACCTGAGTCTGAGACTCAGGCGGCCACACAGAGCGCCATGGTGGGTGTCCCTCACCATGAGGGGCCGGGGGACCGATGTGCGTGGTGCAAACCACGTACCGTGATCGGCATGGCCCGTTGCTCTGACTGTCCATCGTCCAAGGGGAAAGAATCTCTTTGTCACGACACCAGGTGAATGTGACCTGTTCTCTGTTGCAGGCTGCGCTGTCATTGCAATGACCCTTCTCTAGACGACCCCATCCCCCAGGAGTTTGCCCTGTTCCTCTGTCCCACGGGGCCCCTGCTGGAAAAGCTTCAGGAGTTCTGGAGAGAGAGCAAGCGTCAGTGTACAAAGAACAAAGCGCATGAGGTCTTCCCTCACATAACGCTCTGCGACTTCTTCACGGTGAGTCGTCCCCTGCCTGCCGTTAATGCTGTTACCCCAGCAGCCCAAGTCATTTCCTGCAAAAACTAGGCAGTAATGGGACCAAACTGAGAGCGGCCACACAATTTATTTTCATGGGGTGGGCTGACTTCTTCATGTGAGCTGTCCTTTACTTTCTTCTTCACCTTTATCTGGTCAACTCCTATTCATCCTTCAGAACCCAGTTCATTTATCCCTTCCCATTTTTAAGTCTTTCCCAGCTTCCCAGACAGAAGGAATTTTTGCTCTTTGTGCTCCCACCTTCCTTTTGTTCCTGTCTCTAAGTGCCATTTGCCCTGTTGTCTGACAATGTGCCTGGGGCATCTCTGCATCCCTCGCCAGAATGAATCCCTCAGGTGAAGGTGCCCCCAGAGGTTAGCGGGGGGCCTGAAACAGAGGAATGGGTGGGTTTGCACCAGTCACAAACGCAGGACTGTTCTCCACCTAGGGGACCAGCCCCGACTTAGACAATGGTCACACAGACAGCTCCACGGGGTCCTGGGATGGTGAGAAGGGCCTGGGCTGCTCTAAAGACAAGGAGATATGAGAATAATGTGGGGCAGGGGTGGGGGAGGGGACAGACACCACTTCCTCTGAGGTTCCCATCAACCTGGAGAGGACACGCCCTGGCCTAGCCCTGCTGTCAGCCAGCTCTGTGGGCTCCACCCGGCGGTGGCCGCGGTCAGGCCAAGCCGTTTAGACGATCCTCTCCAGGTGACAGAAGGGGGCACACCTGCAGCTTTGGGGTGGGGAGGGGCACTGTGGCACTAGGAGGGGTGTTCATATGGAACTGGGGGTGCGGCAGGGAGGCGGGGTCAGAGTCTGTGTTGGTTTACGGTCGTCCTGGAAGCAGACTCCAGGCTGAGCAGTGCCAGAGGTTTCTGTGGGTGAAACGCCCATGAAGGACAGAGTAGAAGGCAGGATGGGCAGCGTGAGCCTCGCGGGCTTGACACCTGTGCGGGGAGCGGGAGGAGGGCTGGGGCCCAGAGCCTCCCGGGTGCGTGCTGCTCCCAGAAAGAGGGGAGCCTGAGAGCCGAGACCCCCTTAGGGGCCGTGACCAGCTTAGTCCCTGCGCACGCGTAGCCACCAGCCCCATCGGCAGGCCAGCCGCCGGGGACACAGACGGCCCCCTCTTCGTTGCCTGCCGCACCGTGGCTGCCTCGGAGTCTGCGGAAACCTCCAGAAGCTGAATGACGCCCTGCCGGGCAGAGCTCTGGGCCATGCCCAGAAAAGGGGCGGGTTCAGGCTATGATGCGGGCAGTGAGGGGCTGTGGTTAAAGTGACAAGGAACTTCCCACCAGGGCATTGAAAGTATATTCCATTCCACAAAGAATCTTACCCGAAATCCCTAAGAAACCGAGGACCAGGTATAGAACAAATCCGTGACCCCAAATACATGAACCAGGTAAATTACGTTATAGCTACAGCATTGTGAACAGCAAAGAGGTTTGCAGGGCTGCATAATTTTCATTAATTACATTAATAGATGTTTAAAAATAATAAATGAGCTACTTTGAAACAGAGCCAGGGCTGCCGTCCCGGAGGAGCTGCCCCGCCCGTCTGATGCCTCGAACCTCAGAAGCTTAGACCAGGGCGAGGTCACCTTTGACCCGGCCTGAGCGGCCTCATGCCCCCAAGGAACCATTTGCAAGGCTCACAAGAAAGCAGATGTGATGACTGCTAGCTTAAAATTGTTTTGATTATTTAGAAGTACATGATTGTGGTATGTTACCTGCGCCAATAGCAATGCCTTCTTTCTTTCGAAGTCATTGTTCCCCTTGCCTTTCTCATCAATACCTCTGGCCTTTGTCTTCTAATTGGAACAGCATTTGGGCTTTTGCCTCAATCAGTGCTCCCCAAAGAGCTGTTCTTCTCTTTGATCTCAAGTAAGTGCTCGTTGCCTCCCACTTGGAGAGGCCTTTTGTTTGAGGCTAACATGGGGGATCTTATAACGAGACCTGAGAAAGCACGTGGCTGCCTCTCCCCTTAGTGTGAAGACCAGAAGGTAGAGTGTCTGCACGAGGCTCTGAAGAGAGCTGGAGACAGGATGCTGGGCTCCTTCCCTTCGGTGGTCCCTCTCGTTCTCCATTCTTCCATCAGCTACCTTGGCTTCTTCGTGACTGAAAGCGCGGCAGAAGTCATCCGGGAATTCGCCACGATATTTGCCACAGAAGCAGCCACCTTAGCAGGTAGGCAGCCGCGACCAGTGTACCCACAGGGCCTGGTTAATAGAATGTGGCCCGGTTCTGTCCGGGGCTGTGCTCGCCACACTGGGGCACAGTGGGTGGATCGCAAGGACAGGAAGCACATTCCTGAACACAGCGATGGCCAGACAGCTGTCCAGGCTGGGCTCAGGGGTGCACCCCCGCTTGCCTGGGCCACATCTGTCCCCACCTCTCCCTGGCCAAGGAACTTCTTTGATACGGCCTTAACCCAAGGCTGAACAATTTCACTAGATCCTCCCTATTTAGCCCAGTGTCCTTATAAGGGTAAGCAAACAGATTCTGAGAACCGGCAGTGGTCTTGTCTCTAATTAGGAAGAGCCTTGTTTGCATTGATTTCAAGGTGGTTTTCCAAACACTTGCCGTATTCCAGCTGCCGGGGAACTGTCCCGTGGGAACGTTGCATGGCTGTGTAACGACAGGGATTGTAGGCTGGTGCACACAGAGGGGGATAGGGCCACATCCCAGCTCCATGCCCAGCTTGGGCATCTCTCCTAACCACATCGGCGCTGTGTATAAAACACAAGCCCCAGCTGACTTATTTTAATTTTTTAACATTGAGCTTAGCCCTCTCTTCTTGGCCTTTTGGGGAAAGAGTATCCAGACTCACTCAGGGAATCAACACCGTTCCCTTTTCTCCAGACGCCACCCAGGTCTGGAGCCTGAGGCCGTCTCTGGCGGGCATCGGTGGGGAGAGTTCTCTGGGCTTGACTTCGAAGATGTAAATTGCTCCTGCGTCTCTGGTTAGTGATGTGCCTGAATCACAGCACCTCAACTCCCTGAGTCATTTTTCTCTCTCTGAAAAATGGCGAGGCTCTCACTCTCGGAACAACGTAGCCTGTTTTGGGGGAAACTCCCTGTTGTTCCTGGTGCTGCTCAGTGTTGTGGTGATTTGTTAACGCGGAAACTCAGAGGACACAGCCCTGGCGGGAAGACCCCTCCTCGCCCCTGCTCAGGTGGCCCCTCTGCCCTGTCCTCAGACGTGTATGATCTCAGATCCATGGCTCTCAGATGTCCCCTGGGAGGCTGCCTTGTCAAGTCTGGGGATCGATGTGCTGGATAATTATGAACTTACCCACCGTCTCTGTGGATTAGTCTCCTTTACATAAATGTGAGCTCAAAAGTTGGCTCTTTAACCTTCTGCCTCTGAAAAGACAGTGTGGTTCTTGTCCCGGTGCGATGTGACAGCCACTTGCCTCAGAGCTGGCACAGTGCTTCACTTCTTCTTTACTTCTCCCCCAAAAGTGGGTCTTGTTGCCCATTTCACAAATAGAGAGACCTAGGCTCTGAAGGGTAATATGGCTGCCCAAGGCCACTCTCATGGGTTGAATAGTGTCTCTTAAAATTCATGTCTCCCCACAATCCCAGAAAAGGACCCTACTGAAAATAGGGTCTTTGCAGATATAATTAGTTAAAATGAGGTCATACTAGAATAGGGTGGACTCTAAACCCCATGACTGGTGTTTTTGTAAGAAGAGAAGAGGACACAGAGACACAGGGAAGAGGCCACGTGAAGACAGAGGCAGGGATCCAGTGTTGCAACCACAAGCCAGGGAACACCTGGAGCCCCCAGAAGAGTCAGGAAGGACCCCCCCTAAAAGGCCCACAGAGAACAGATCCCGCCAACACCCTGATTTGACACTTCTATTGTTCAGAACTATGGGGGAACAAACTTCTGTTTTAAGCCATCCAGTCTGTGGCAATTTATGACAACAGTCCAGGAAACCAGCAGAGTCCCCTCCCCAGTGGGTGGTGGAACTAGACCTGGAGCCCAACTCTCTCCCACTCCTTACCAGCTGGGTTTCATACTGAGCAGCCACAGGGCCTGCGAGATAGGCCTTGACCTCAAGTCTGTCGATTGACCCTGAGCAGGCTCCACCCTGCCCTTCCACTGCCTGCGCCCTGCGCCTGACCCTGAGGGCTTCACAGCTCTGTTGTCCCTCCCCAGTGAAACGTCCCCATGGGCATGGGGACACAGAGAGAAGAAAAGACAAGAGCCCATTCAGGAGTCGGAGTGACTCACTGATGGCTCCGATGACAGCAGCGGTGGGTCTCGGGCCACTCTGACTCATGTGGCGAGGCTGCCCTGCCCCTACTGCTAAATGAAGGAATTTCCCCGCCACCCACTCACTCTCTTGCCCCAAGCTTCTCACCTCCACAGTGGTGGGTGAAATATGGGCGGGGGCTGCCACATCTGGGCTCCAGGAAGTGTTCACAGCACCCTCGACACTTTCCAGAGAACAGATCCTGTCTGTTGCTGTGTGTCGCCTGTGGGAGGGGAAGCAGGTAGCTGATATTAACTGAAAGACTCCTAGAGATGGTGAGTTCAGAGACTGGTTTCCGCGGCAGCCCCAGCAGGCCACCTTCGCCATCCTCATGCCGCTGCGGTCCAAACGGAAGCCGAGCCAGGCTAAGGTGGCCCTGCCAAAAGGGGCAGGGTGGGCCTAAAGCCAGGTCTACCTGATACCAAACTCTGAACTATTCCCGTTGGCCACTGCCTCCCCAGAACATGGAGCATTTTGTGGCCCAGCTGAAATCAGACCCTGGCTGGCCTGAGAGCTCCCAAGTGAGGACCGAGGGGCAAGACCCCTAGAAAGACCGGGGCCAGCCGAAACAAGCCGAATGTCAGAGAGACTGTCATGTTCAACAGAGTTGTGTTGCCTCTGGCATTTTCTTCCTGAGACTCTGCAGCTGAACAAGAGGCCATTGGCCTGGAGAGTGTGCCCACTGGGCCAGGCCACTGAGTAACGTGCACTCCCCAGGGAATGCAATGCCGGCTTCGTACATGTTCATCAACTGTTTGGGCAACCAGCTTACAAACTAATAGGTCCCCAACATCCCTTCCCCCAAATTCGCATCTCTACACCCACCTCTTTTATACATCCTTGTAGAATCTGCAGGTACCCAACCATCTCCTTTATAAGGTGAAGGTTGCGAGCTGGCGTAGTCTGGGTGGGGTCCTTGCCTGGCCAAGGGAGCCCTGGTGCAGAGGCTGGGCGGCCTCGTGTACAGGCTTGTGCTGATGAGCCTGCGCGCGCATAAAACACAAGCCCTAGGTGACTTATTTTAATTTTTAGGTTTGTGCTTAGCCCTCTCTTCACTGGGAGCACAGTGCTGACGGCGGGCATCCCTGTGTTTACCCGGTTTTACAGACTGCACCGTGAAGCCCTGCACCAAGCAGCTGCATCTCACACTGGCCCACAAGTTCTACCCCCACCACCAGAGGACGCTGGAGCAGCTGGCCAAAGCCGTGAACCCAGGTCACAGCTGCCAATGGACCGCAGCCCTGTACTCACGGGACATGCGCTTTGTACACTACCAGGTGAGCGGCCTGGGCCGGGCGGGCGGACCGCATCCTCCTGCAGAAACTAATGCATGAATGGGCTTCCCAACCAAGCACTTACCCCAGCTGCCCTCCTGGAGGGATTTTAGTGGAAGGAAGAACTTCTTTCTCTAAAATTATTTCCTTTTTTTTTGTGCAATTTGCAACTAGCATTCTTATACACACACATACACACACGCATATATATATAGAAATATATATAGAAATATATACATATATATATATGTGTGTGTGTGGAGTGGGTGAGGCAAAATAGGTTTAGAGTTGTGAGTACATGAAACATGGTTTATTCTGTATTTATTAATTATTGTATTATTTTCCATATGAACAACTACAAACCTCCTTTTTTCCCATCTTGTAGAAGTTGCAGGCACACAAATTTGGGGGAAAAATGGAAGCATTTCTGGAAACAAAAAAAGAACTATTGTAAAGATTTATTAGTATGTTGTGTTGCTTATTACTGTATTTTGCCTCATATAATGTACACATTTTTGCCCGAATTTTTGAGGGATGTTCATTATACATGGTCAATACTAATTCCATATCTATATAAACATTTTTAATTCTTTTACTTATGTGTTAAAAATGTAACTCTAGAAAGCAATAACTAGTATGCAAAGTAATACCCTAGAATACGATAATCAGTTTTGTGTCTAAATATAAATAAATAAAAATTGAATTAAAAAGTTAAAACAAAAGATTTTTTTCCGAAAGTTCAGGCCAAAAACATGGATAGGCATTATATACAGCAAAATACGGTAATTTGCTTAGACAGTGATTTGGGTGAAGCCTCATTCCAAGACTTTCTCCCACTAAAATGATTCGTTCAAATAGAAACCATGCATTGCTGCTTACAGACCCACAGAATCAGTATGAATGAATCCACTGTGTTCTGTGTTGTAAAAGAAGCTATAAAAAACTTCACTGCAAAGAAGGTAGATGTGAAAGTTTGGTTATGCTTTGAGATATTTCATATAAGAAATAAGTACAAAGATAGATAGGTGGATAGATGGGTGGGTAGATAGATAGATAGATAGAAGATGAATGATAGAAAACTAGAGAGATGATAGACATTATAGAAGGATGGTAGAAAGATAGATGTATAGATATATGATAGATACATGTATGCATACATGCAGAGATGAATGATAGATGATAGACATGATAGAGAGATGATTGATGATAGATGATAGATTGATGATAAATACAGACATATTGTACATACAAACCTAGACAGATGATAGATACCAATATTCATTTCTAAATCTAGCCAGAGACTTCTGTGCTGCATTTTGTTATATTCCACGCTATCTCTCATGAGACAAAGGCTCAGGTAGCGCCTTGGAGACATGCAGCCCATGAGGGAGGCTGAACGCCAGAGACAGACATGAGTCCACTACCTTTGTCCCTCCCAGCCCAAGTCCCTGCTTGAGACAAGAGAACATTTTCCTCTTTTCCAGACCCTGAGGGCCATATTTCAGTACAAACCCCAGAACGTGGACGAGCTGCCACTAAATCCTGGTGACTACATCTTTGTGGACCCCACCGAGCAGGAGGAAGCCAGCGAGGGCTGGGTCATTGGGCTCTCACAGCGGACCGGCTGCCGGGGCTTCCTGCCGGAGAACTACACGGAGCGAGCCAGAGAGTGTGACACCTGGGTGAAGCACAGGTGAGCGTCGCCTCGAGAGGCAGCCCACAGGCCCCTGCGTTACTGTCTGAGAGTGTCCACCTGAAAACAGTGGCCACGGTGTTTGCATGCTTCTAGACCATTCCATCGTTGGTATAAATTGCAACATTATCCCTGCAGGGGTGCAGTAAGGATCTTGGTTGACTCATGGTTTTCTGCTGCTAACATTCAGAAAACATAAATTATTATATATGGCTTCTGAGGTCTTAACCTCAAAAGACTACAAAATACTACTTCCTTATTAAGGACATAAGTTACAATCAGAAGTCCTGTGCTTGGTTTTTCTTATCTCTTTACCCAGCCGCAAGGGCGTCCAACCTTTTAGCATCTCTGGGCCACACTGGAAGAAGAAGAGCTGTCTTGGGCCACACGCTAAAAACATTGCAACACATAATCACAAAAAAATCTCATACTGTTTCAAGTAAAGTTACAAATTTTGTATTGGGCCGCATTCATAGCCATCCCGAGCCACATGCAGCCCGCAGGCCGCAGGTTGGACACCCCTGTTCTAGAGTCCCCTGGCACATTATTACTTTCCTATTGTTATATAACAGATGTCCTTAACCTAACAGCTAAAACCATATACATTTATTATCCCGCAGTTTCCACGGGTCAGGAGTCTGGGCGTGGCTTAGCCCGGGGGCTCCCAAGGCTGTGGTCAGTTTGGGCTGGGGCTGGAGGCTTCCCTGAGGCTGGGGGGTCCCCCACAAGTACACATGATTGTTGACAGCGTTCATTTTCTTGAAGCTATAGGACACCCAGTGGTTTCATGTTCAGCTGGAATTTCTTAATTGTAGCATCTTTAGCATCACCTGAACAGTCTGAGGATTTTCAAAATCACCAAATACTGGCTCCTCTTATTTAACAATTCTTCCCTCAATTTCTCAGACTCCTCACACCTCTAACACTTGGCGTGGAAATGCGCTTAGCTGCATAACCAACTTCCTCACTTACGAGTTCTGCTTTCCACGCATAATTTCACTAAACTTTTTCCCACTGCATAATAAGGACCCATCTTCCTTCAATCTCCTATGACCTATGCCTCACTCCTTCTGAGTCTTCACCAGCAACGCCTTTAACATCCATATTTCTATTTACAGTCTGGCCAAGGTCATGTAGACTTTATCATGCTTCTCAAAATTCTTCCAGCCTCTACCACTGCTCTGTCTCAGGTATTATAGCAACACCCTACTCCTGATACCAAATTTAGTATCGATAAAGGTTTAATCAGAGAATATTTATATTATAGATATATATACACACATACATATTTATAATACAAATACATATAAGTATATTTTATATTATTCTATACATATATAAGTATTATTTATAATATAACTAATCTATATTTTGTTATATTATCTTGTTTTATCTGTATTATATGCATACACTGCAAGCCATGTATCTACATACACATGCATGGATTTATTACAGGGGATTGCCTTGAGCAGCTTTTGGGGCTAGCTAAGCAAAAGCAGGAAAGAAGGAAGGGAAGGAGCCCAGGGCAGCCTGGAAACCATGGCCGAGTGAAGGCCCCTGGTCTAGGCGGGACAGCTGGGAAAGACCACCCACCCGTCTGGTAGACAAGGCCGCTGCTTGAATCTCTGAGCTCAGGGAAGCCCAGGCCTTTTTAAAAGACTTTTGAACTGAATAAGTCAGGCCCAGCCAGGACACTCTCCCTTTTGATTAACTTCAGGTCAACTTGATTAAGGACTTTAATCACATCTGCAAAATCTCTTGCCAACAGCACCTAGATGGCTTTTGATTGGATAACTGGAGAAAAAAAAAGTGTGTGTACGCTTTCAGCCCTGACCTAAATGCCTATAGAAGAGATACCTAAATTTACAAATAAGCCAGTGAAATAAATTGTGGTATAGCCGCACAATAGAATACTTGAAATTTTTTAAAACAGTCATGAGGAAGTATTTTAGGTACTAATATGAAAAAGCCCTAGGTACATTGCAGGACAGTTGATATAGTACTGTTTGTGGGGAAAGGATGAAGCTAAACATACTTATTGGTGCATCTATAGATTCGTGATGTGTATTTATATACAAGTCTACGCATACAAGTTCCCTGGAAAGGAGACTCTTTAGAAGCTTCTAACAGTGGCTACCAAGTGGGGGTTGGGGATTGAAGCTGGAAGAATGAACAGGAATTGGACAAAGACTCTTCAGTACCATTCCATAATTTTTAAATTTTGAACCATATAAATGTATTACTTATTCAAAATAGAAATTAATCTATGTTAAATGTAAAGAAAAGAATACAAGGAAATTGGGTCAAAAGGAAACAAGTGAGACAACCCAGAGCTGGGGTTTGTACACTAGGTGCATGCTGGGAGATCCCTGCTCCAAGCTTTCCCACAGCCGAGGTGAGCAGGGCTATGGCTGCTACCATCACAGCCACGCCATGAGCGGGTAGACCAGTTGTTCAGGGGAAGCACAATTTTGCAGATGTAGACAGGGTCATGGGTCCCCTGGGCCACCACAAAATCACAGGATGTTGGTGCCACCTGGGACTGCAGAAATAATCAACTACCTCCCTCCCCCTGGAGGTTCTGAGCACTCTCGGACTCAGGGGGAGGAGGGGCTGGATGTTGCCACTCATTTAAGGAAGCACTTGTTTCCTTTTAGTACCAGCTCCATCCTCATCTGATCCAATACACGGTTTAAGGAAAGCAGCAGAGAGATGCTGGTTCCACCTTAACTGAGTCTCGGAGTTCCAGAGGCGTGGGGCATCCCTACTGCTCCCGTCCTCCAGCTGGTCCCCCACTCCCTGCTCCAGGACAGGAGCCTCACCGTCACCAAGCAACTGGCAAACCTGGGTGTTTCTAAAACTAGGCAGTCAAGACTCAGTAGAAAATAAGTTTGTGGCTGTAACATCTTTTGCTGCACAATTAATCTGTCGGTCCCCTGTCACCAAAATAATCATTCCAGCCTTTAAGCCTGATATTTCTGGGACTATTCTTCTTAGAGGTATGTCTCCCTCAGGAATTAATAAGTGTGAACAAAAGCTGCAACAAAAGGAGAGAAAAGTAAGTGCTAGGCGAGGCTGGGGAGTGTCTGTGTGGCCTTGCTTTGGAAGCACCCCCATCCTCCCTGGAGGAGCAGTGAGACAAACTGTGACATGATTGTTGGCCAGAATGGCAGGTGTCAGAACCAGCCTGCTGTCAGACTCGGGGGCCCTGGCTCAGAGTTGCAGAACTGCCAAAAACGTGCTTTCTTAAACACCGAATGCTTTTTAACTTAGGCAGTGGTCCGTGAGTGTCTCGACATCACCAATCTGTTGAGTAGCGGAACATGTAGAAATGAATACCCCTGCAGGACTCACCCTCTGCGTGTGCGACCCAGGCCGCAAGAACTGCTGGCCTGACAGCACCTGCGAGCAGAGTACAGGCCTACGGGGAGGATGCCCCCGGCCTCAGGGGACACGCTCATAGGTGTGAGTTTGCAGCTACAGTGCCATGGTTGCCCATCGCCAGTACAACAGCCTCAGCTCATATGTCCGTGGTTCCGGGAGCCGGGATTCCCTCAACGGCAATCCACATGGCAAAATTCGTGGGTCCCTGTGAAGGGAAAGGGCAGAGGTGATCGGGGTGACCATCCTGGAGGAGTGTTTTCCTGAATCACAGCACTTTTCAACTCTCCACGTGGGAGAATGTATGCAGGATAAGCGTAGGACCAAGAGCAGGGGGGCTTGAGTGGCAGGACTTAGAGAACACCTTGTCACCCTCTCACCAAGATGCGGGGTCCAACAACAAAGCCCTACAAGCCTGTAACTTCGCAAAACCACAGGGCGAGCTGGAGACAAGTAGCTCCAATGCAATAATGGTGGTGTGCTGGGCTGAGCTGTGTCCTCCTAAAATTCACACAGCAAAGCCCTGACTCCCAGCCCCTCGGGGTGGGACTGTATTTGGAGATGGGATCTTTACAGAGGAGATTTGGTTAAAAACGAGACTGTTGGGAGGGCCCTAATCCCGTAAGACTGGCGTCCTTAGGAGAAGAAGAGATCAGGACACAGGTGCACACAGAGGGACCACCACGTGAGGACACGAGGAGAAGACAGCCACTCATAAGGAAGGAACCAGCCCTGCCAGCCCTGTGAGCTGGAATTTTCAGCCTCCAGGCTGTGACAGAATACATTTCTGTTGTTAAGCTGCCAGCCCAGTGTATGACATCTTGTTACGGTGGCTTTAGCAACTAACACGGCAACGTCATCCATAGGACCCCACAGACTGCAGCTGAGCCCCTTTCAGAAACCAGAGTGGATGCAACTACATCGAGGGTGTAAGTTAACCATGAAGGGTTCCTTTTAAGTTAAAGAGAAAAACAGAAATATGAAAATGCAAGGTCCTTTCCTTTCTCCTCTCGTGGCCCACATCCCATCATCATTTTGATGGCATTGCACTTGAAAGACTGGCAAGAGAAAAAAAAGTCGATTCTGTCTCTAACTGTAAACTGCACAGGTGTTATTTATAGATAAGGAGGCTTTGCGCTCTGCACGGTGAGCCGCAAGCAGCGTGCTGGTGTCCCCGCCTCGCCTCAGGAAGGCAAAGCCGACCAACATTTCCCAGGTCGATGGGGGAGTCTATGAATAGCACCCTCGCTACCAAGAGTGTGTTCCTTTGAAGAGGGAAATGTCAATGGTTCGAATATAACATCAGTGTTCTGAGTCTCTTTATGATCAACTAAAGCTCACATTTTTTAAAAAAAAATGTTTGTTTTTAGAGAGGGGGAAGGGAAAGAGAAGGAGAGGGAAACATCAGTGTGTGGTTGCCTCTTGTGCACCCCCTACTGGGGACCTGGCCCGTGACCCTGACTGGGACTCAAACCTATGACCCTTTGGTTCGCAGGCTGGCACTCAACCCACTGAGCCACATCAGCCAAGGCTGAATAGCACATTTCATGCAAGCACAGTGAGTCTCTGACCTAATTACCACTGATAGGAGTTTACAGCTCAAGACAGGACAGGCACCAACATGGAAAGAGAAGGTACAGGCTGCAGACAATTTAAGAAATGCATTAACTAAAGCAAACCACCGCGAGGGCAATGAATGGTCCAGGGCGTATGCAGTGGTGGTGAAAGCCGCGACCGGAGGCTGTGGGTGGTTGAGATGGAGGACAGATGGCCCCTGCGATGCTCCCAGCTCTGTTCTCCCTGAGGGTCTCTGGATGGAGGGTGGGGAGCTATTGGTTTAATGAGAATTGACGGGCCCTGATGCCTCTGTAAGAGAAATGCAAAATCTACAAATGGGCTAATAAGTAGAAACACACCACATTCATGAGTCAAAAGAAGAAGAAGGAGGAGGAGGAGGAGAAGGAGAAGAAGAAGAAGGAGAAGGAGAAGGAGGAGAAGGAGGAGAAGGAGAAGAAGAAGAAGGAGAAGAAGGAGAAGGAGAAGGAGAATCACGAACATGTTCATGTCTCCTGGAGTCATTTCCAGGTTTAAAGAAATTTCAGGAAAAAAATCCCTGTGGCATTGTTTTCTAGAACTTCAGTGAATGACTGAAGAGTTATCTGGAAGAGTAAACAGGGGAGAAGAGCTGAAAAAACTTCAAAAAATAAAAACAATCAGAGTAGAATGTTACCCTGCCAGATGTTAAAAATGACAAATCTATGACATGGCTTTGGCTTGAGGGAAAGAGAAGAGAGAGAACTGGTGTAACAGAAAAGCCAACAGACAGGAGACCTGGCCTGGGGCAAGTTCACGTCTAACAACTGCATCAGGAATAGGGAAAGAAACGGTATAGAATAAATGGTACTTTACGTGACCTCCCATCAACGCCAAGAATTATACACAAAAAGAAAATTATTTAAAACTAGAAGGCAGTTCAAAGGAATGCATTTCTGATTTCTGGACTCTGGGGAGAGGTTTGAAAGCATAGAAGCAATGGAGGGGATCTTAAAGGGACATTTAGTTCTGCCTTTAATAGTGATCATTAAATGCTTGAAGTTTAATGTTTCTCTGTGTTAAAATTCACAAAGAATACTATGATCCAAAGAGCCAGGTGAGAACAATGCTTTTAAGAAAATAGTAGCAAAGGCGCTGGTCCCCTACCGGTCACCCACATGATCAGATTACCTGCCTCCCTCTCTTGCTCCATAAATCACACCATCTGTGGCCAGGCAGACCTGTATACTCAGCCCTCGGGCCCTCCTGCCCGCCAGTTGGCCTGTGTCTAACTTTTCCATTTAACCAGAAGGCCATCTACTGTATTCTTCATTCCTACTCACCATGACAGCTGAACAGTCAGAAGAGTGTCCACCAGCTGTCGCCACCACGCCACCCGCCTGCAGCCTCTGCTCCAGCTGCCCTCCTCCGTCAGACTGTCCTGCCCAGTGCGCTGTCCCAGCCCAGGGCCCCGGCCCATGGTGCCTGTCTCTGTCCCTCCCGGGCAGCCCCTCTCTCCAAGGGCATCATGCCAGTGTCACCTGCTGTTCCCAAGACCTTCCCAATCATTCCCACCAGCAAACAAACATGCTGTTACCTTAAAAACAAAATCGAGCACAACCCTTTTTCCCATGTCCATCTCTAGTGTCTTCCCCATTTCTCTGCTCTGCTTGTAGATTATTTTAAAATTGAGTTTATAAAGATGACCTTTCCTTTTACAAGATGAACTTCTCCCCGGGGGACATGATCGTTTGCCTGCTCTTCCCCTTCCCAGTTCCTTCCAGACACTTGCATGTAGGGCACCCTGCCGTCATCAACCCCCGCGTATCCTCAGTGTGTGTGTTCTTTTCTCTCAGTCATCCCAGAGCCCCTGAACCCCACCCACCCCTGCACCTTTCTTGACTCGCACGATGGGTAGCAGTTTCCTCACGGCCTGCAACACCTGGGCACTGTTTGTACCCGCCCTCCCACACCATCCGTCCCTTTCCTATGTGTGTCCATAGCTCATTCCTCCCGGCATCCCAACCACGCCTACCTTTACACTTTCGGCCACTATCGAAGGTGATGCTAAGAGACTGTTGCATTAGTCTGCTCAGGATGCTGGAACAAAGTACCACAGGCTAGGCGGACAAATGGTAGAAACCTGCTTTCACAGTCTGGAGGCTGGAAGTCCAGGATCAAGGTGTCTACAGGGTTGGTTCCTCCTGAGGCCTCTCCCTTCGGTGTGCAGATGGCTGTCTTTTCCCCGGCCCTCACACGGTCGTCCCTCTATGTTTGCCTACGTCCCAGTCTCCTCTTCTTACAAGGACACTGGTCATATCGGATTAAGACCCACTCTAACGACCTCATTTTACCTTAGTTACCTCTTTAAAGTCCCCCTATCTCCAAATACAGTCACAGCCTGAGTTCCCAAAGGTTTAGGACTTCAACATATGGACTTGGGGTGACACAGTTCAGCCCTTCACAGGTGGCACTATGGTGACCAACAGCCACCATTTACTTGGGATTTTTTATGTGCTGAGCACTGAGCTCTTTGAACTCATCATTTGGCTGGTCCTCACCATGACCTTCTGCCTTATCATGTACATTCTTGAGCACACGCATGACCCAGTGCTTCCCACGGCCATCATGACTCAGGCTCTTGTTTCTTCACCCACAGGACATACACCTTCAGTCTAGCCATGGACCTGAACTCCAGAAAGGATGGGGAAGCCAGCAGCAGACAAAATGGGGAGCTCCATCCTCCACCAAGGCCCCGGGGTGCCGGCAGCATGCAGGCTTTACAGGTGATGGGCTCCCTTTTTTGTAAAGTGAGGGCAGCAACATCACCCTTTATGTTAACTCTGCTTAGACACAGCCTCACAGGTGCGGCTTTTATAGACACACACCCCCTTGCTGCCCCGGAGCAGAGCGCAGACCCGGGCGGGCTGGCAGGAAGCCCTTCCCTCCGGTGCCAAGGCACCAGGTTGCCCCATCCACCTGGGCACAGGGTGAACCCCCGATGGCTGTGAGCCAGCCTACACCCCACAGGTACCTGCCAAGTGTGCGAGAACAGGGAGCACGTGGCTGTAACTTGGTCACGGGGCCAGGACACAGGGCAGGGAAGAGATGGGGACACAGCCCTGCCAGGAATCCAGAGCTCTCGCCCTGATTCTCTCATTACCAAGCTGGGTAACTGTGATGGAGTCCCCCCACCCTTGGGCCCTAAAAGATGGAGCTTATGAGCTTTCAAGGCAGGCTGGGAGAGACAAGGAGGCTCATGCTCGGTTAACAGGGGGCAACGGCAGCCTCAACAACAGGATCCTGTGGACCCTAAATCTAATCACAATTGTCCTTGTGGGAGGAAAACAAAGGGAATTTGATGCACAGAAGACGAGAAGACGAAGACACACAGGCAAGAGGCCATGTGCGTGTGAGGCAGAGATTGGAGCCATGCAGCCCAAGCCAAGGGTTGCTGGGGCCACCAGGCACTGGAGGACACAGGAAGAGCCCTCCCCTATAACCTGTGAGGCAGCGCCTTGATTTTGAGCTTCCATTATCCAGAGCTGGGAGTGGTTAAATTTACTTTGTTTTAAGCCACCCAGGTGGTGGCCCTTGGTTACGGCAGCCACAGGACACACATACTGCACTTTACGACTGAGGAGTCACGGCAGCCCTGTTGCCCTGTGGACCCTGGGGTTCAGCCCATTCCATTCCCCGTGGGCTTTTCACCGTGTCCTAATATTCTTGGTGCCAAGCTCTGCTTTTCAAAGTTGAAATGCTGCAGGCTCTTCCACGGAAAAAAATGCCCCAAATCCAGAACCTCAGCCCAACACATTCATGGTACTTCGAGGATGTCAGTAAGCAGACGGCAGCTGGGAGCACATGTGTGCCTTGCTACCTACTTGTAGATCAAGTAGGGACGAGAGGACAGAATGAGATATTTTCATATTCTTTCTTGAAGGGGAAGGTGCCCTGGTGTCAGCATAGGTGATCCCCAAACCACCATGCTTCAAAACTGTAAGACAACAAGACAGCCTTCCCCCTGATGCCCTGCCCTGGGAGGGAGCTGTTTGCATCCAGAACTGAATGGCTACACACTCCATCCAGTAAGAGACGGTCATGCTATTTGCTTTGCCTTGTCTCTGTGCCCAGTGTGATGGTGTTAAGAGGTGGGGGCCTTTGGGAGGGGCTCCGGTCCTGAGGGTGGAGCCCTCATGAACGGGATTAGTGCCTTTATGAAAGAGACCCCATCGCTCCCTTGCCCCTTCCACCATGTGAGGGCACTGCAAGAAGCCTGCCACTAAGAAAAGGAGCCTCGCCCTGATCTATGGCACTTCTGACCTCAAGAACTTGGAGAAATAAATGTCTGCTGTTGTCAAGCCACCCTACTGTGTGGTATTCTGTTAGAGCAGCCAGAACAAACTAAGACAAGGGATAAGGACTTGGGAGAGACCGAAGAGCAGAGAAGTTAACGTGCTATGGTTTGGGGCATTCCTGCTTCTTTTCATTTCTTTTATAAGGTTATGATGCCCAGGAAATAAAAAGTTGCAAGAAATTAAAGAGATTTCCAGCTGCAATTCCTAGTCCTCTTCCATTGCAATGCCATTGGTAAAATGGGATGTAGCTACAGAACAAGAAAGGAAGGGGACCATTTCTAGGCCAGTTGTTGGATGACTGAGAGATGCCTTTTTTAAGTCTAATAATACGGGTGTTAATGTGCACATTTTAACCACGTTTGGCTACACTTCTCAACTGATGGACAGATCTTTGAACATGTCCACTGCTGACCGCAACTTCTCTTTCCTTCCACCGCCTTAGGCCACCATCGCGAGGAGACATGTGCTGGTGGTGCGCCATGGGGAGAGAGTGGATCAAATCTTCGGGAAGTCATGGCTGCAGCAGTGCTCCACTCCGGACGGTAGGTCAAGTCCTGGCGGCCTCCAAACCCAAACACAAGATCAACCTGACAAGTGAGATCACCGCCCGAGTCTCTGAGCTACATTCCCCGTGGTACCATTCTTTAGAATGACTCCATATAGATCGTATGTATGGGATGGATACTCGCTACATCTTTCCCTGTAGGCATGACATGGAAGCATTCCAGTGTATATGTTGTCTTTGGCTATCTCAGGCCAAATGCTTTGTGGAAGATGGAGGAATGGTTTCAATAAGAAGCAAGTCTGCTGGCGCGACACAGGGCCAGTCCCCTCGATCCAGTGCCACACAGGGTACTTGGGAAGTGGGCGCAGCACTGACTTCCGAGCAAGCCACCCTGGCCCGTGCTCTCTGACCCCTCAGCTGCTGGCACACACCCTACCTCACCATCTCATCGCTCTATCTCTTCCAGCTAATCTTCACTGCGGTGGCCATTTCCGTAAATTGTTTGGTTCTCTTTCTCAACTGAAGGATATATTTCTGAACATGTCTCTTGCTCACTCCAGCTTCACCCCGCTAGATTCCAAGAACCAAGGACAGTGCTTGGGAAAAGAGCGTACACCCAAGCCCGGCTCTGTTCTGAGGGCCCACATCCGTATCTGTGCTCATCTGTCCCCTAATGGACAGCCACAGTTTCTAAGCCAAGACTAATTGTGCACATGAAAGTATTGAATGAACACAGTGATGAAATCCATTCACCACGGCTGAGCTAGCCGGGTCCTTTGGGATCCCTCCAGAAGCCCAGCAGACCAAGAAAGGGGGGCATGAATAGGGGAAAAACAGTGGCAAGTGCCCAGCATGCACCAGAAAAATTCTGAGCAGATCACATCATGACCGCGTATTTCTCAAAGAACCCATGGAGACAGTGCTGTGGCTGTCTCTATAAAAGAAGGTCAGGTTGAGACACAAAATCTTGGAAAAGAAACAAGAGGACAATAGGTAGATGTGAGGAAGAGTATTTGGTCATCTAGAGAAAAGATCAAGCCACCTGTTAGGGAAAATATGTTAAGGCACTGGAAATTACCAGGTTAAAGAAAGCTGCTGGTGGGTCTCTTTACAGGGTAAAGAATCCCTTAATAAAGTAAGAACTGGCAGTCTAATTCATCTGCATTTCACAGACTGTACTGTTGAATGAATTACAACAGGGCATCTGGGGGTGCTGCCAGCCTCTTCTTTGCTTCCAACTTTCCTCCTGATTCCTGTTCACCTCTAGCCCAAGCACCCACCCCCTCGTATGATCCCTCATTCCCAGTGGTGCTGGCCCAGGGCAGCCCCTCTTCTGCAGATTCCACTTCCGTCAGAACTTGACCTTGCCCCATAGCCTTCTCTTCTGAACTCTGCTCTCTGCCTCTCGAAGTGACCACAAATTGTCACTGAAGGCAAAAATACAAAATGGAGCAGCTTGACATCTTTCGAATCACAGATGCCTTTGAGAATAGGATGCAACTCAGGGGCCTTCTCTTTGAAAAAAAAAAAAAAAAAACTTCCTTTCCCAGCAAACACAGCTCATGCTTTGGCATTTAATAAAGGTCTTTAAGAGGAAATGGGTGGTCCTTTCCAAAAAGCCAACAAGATGGTGCAAATGGAGCAGAAGAACAAGTGAAACTTCCACAGATTCACCTACCGCGGGTGGGATTTATCAGCTGCCTGAGCACGTGCACAAGGCCCAGAAGGAGGCCTTGCCCATGGAGAGGCCCGTGGTGATAAAGACACATCTGCAGGACATCGTCATCCTGTGGGAGCCGGTGGGCAGCTGGTGGGCATGTCCAACAGCAAGTCCTTCAACCAGGTGAAAGCTTGAGATGACTGGCCACTACCTGGGCGACGTCTCCATCACCTACAGGCCCGGGAGCCACCACCAGCCAGGCATCAGGCCCACCCACTCCTCCTCTTCATCCGTCTCTAGCAGCCAAAAAAGACACAGACTTCTCTTAAAGTCTTTGCCAATGGAATTTCCAGGGAGGGGGCTTTCATAAAAATCATGCTTGGAAACTAAAAAACAAGGCATGCGCACTTGCCGTTGCCCCCCCACCCCCATGCACTGGGGAAGGGCCAGGGTCCGGGTGTGGGGTGCTCGGGGCCCGCTGTGTGGTATGTACAGGCCGCAGGAAAGGTGGCTAGGCTGCTAGAACCTGCTGTGCAAGGAGGTTTGGGGGTGACTTGGGTGAATGCGAAGGCTTGGTGTGGAGTGGTGTCCCCTGCAGGGTAATTGATAATCTGATAATGAGATCAGACTTACCACTTCTTGACTTCTTACGGGACCTGTGTTCTGGGCATTATCTCAATAATTCATCAAAACTATGTTTTCCCTTTTACTGATAAGGAAGATTAAGTCATTTGCTTCTAATCACACAACCAGTAGCTGGTGGTGCCAGGATTTGCACCAGACTGTCGGATTAAAGCTCAGACTGTCAGGTTCAAGCTCAGGGTCAGAGGGCACCACGGCACTTTGCAGCCTCTGGGTGGGTGGGTGGCGGGGGAGAGTCCAGGGAATCCTCCAGATTCCAGTCCCGCCTCAAGCAACTGACTGAATAATGGACAATGCAGGGCATCTCCGGCCATATGGATTCTGTCCCCATAGGCAATACGACACTCGACACTTGTAAGCTGTGGGGATGGGTCGAATTTCACCTAATTAATTAATGCCAACTTGAGATTCTTATCAAGTTAAGCTCTGTCAGTCATGGAGACACTTGGTTCTTCATTAGGAAAACTGTATGAGCGAGGCGAGTCCTCAGGAGGGGTCCGAAGAGGACAGAAGGGTCTCGGGATTCCTGGGACCCTTTTCTGTATTTGAGGAAATGTGTGCACAGTAAAGCAGCATTTTCTCCTGGAATTGAATCCACATCACAGAGCACTTTCAAGAAAAAAACACAGTCGACAACAATTTAAATGCTAACGCTGCTTCTAACGTGTGTCTTGATCTTGGGTGTGTTGTGAGACAAATATGCACTAACTTGAGAGGAATGAATGTCTGGTGTGTATTTGTGCTTTAGGAAAATACTACCGGCCAGACCTGAACTTCCCTTGCAGCCTGCCCCGACGGAGCACTGGCCTCAAAGGCTTTGAAAACGATCCGCCATTATCGTCTTGTGGAATTTTCCAATCCAGGATGGCAGGTACGTTGGAGCGCCTTTCTAGTAGGGATAGTAACGATAACCAATGGTTCTCATTGATGTGTACTGAGCCCTTGCTACACGTCCTTTGAAGTCAGTATTGGCATTATCCCCAATACTGCTGATGAGGAAGCTGGGGCACAGGGAGGTTAAGTAAGTCACCCAAGGTCACACAGCTAGTAAGTGGAAATTCCAAGATTTGGCCCAGTAACAGATGGTTGGGGAGGTTGGGAGGCATGAAAAATATGGAAAGAACAGAGAGGGACAGAAAAAACTAATGACTACTGTATACACTGAGGATGTCATTTTTTAAAAATTTTTAAAATACATCCCCTCTTTGATTATATTTCAAAATCTGTCATGTTGGGCCTTTGTTTTATGTCTGGGGCAAAAGTATGGTTGACTTTTGGGAACAGGAGAGGCCATTGGGTTCATCTGGTCTTCGTTTTATGAATTAAGAAACTCAAATCTAAAATCAGGAGGGCACGCGGGCTTCCCGAGTCACACAGCTGGTTAGCAGAAGGAACTCGCTGGAACCTGACGTTCCCAGTGCCTCACAGGTGGCCTGGTGTAAACATTTAGTGCCAATGATCTGGGCAGGTGGTATAGCTCTGATTTGTAGCATTTGCTGAATTCAGGGATGTAAATAGTGTGCTCATACCCAGATGGTGTCAAGGCCACTGATGTGAGGTCACTTAACGTGCAGTTAGGAGACAGGACACAATTGGGACTCCCATGGGTCAGTGTGACCTGCTCTCCACCACCTGCCCGCGCCCCTTCTCCTGCAGCACACGGTGGTGTATGTGTGTGTGCTATGTGTGCTGGTATGGGTGTCTTCTCTGTGCAGTGCCTATGCAGTGTGTGTTTCATGCCTAAATCCTCACCTGGATGTTTGTGCAACCTCTGCGTGTGTATTTGGTATGTCTGTGAGTGGGTATATACGTGGTCAGTTGCCGGCCCCCATATGAGCTTCCTGGGACTGCCATAGCAAAGCACCGCAGACCAAGTGGCTTCCTCAACAGAAATGGGTTGTCTCGCAGCTCTGGGGAGATGCAGGTGCAGGCAGGGTGTTTCTCCTGAGGCCGAGAGAGAAGGACCTACCCCAGGCCTCTCCTCTTGGCTTGTAGACGGCCATCTTCTCCCCGTGCCTTCACATCAGCTCCCTCCTCTGTGCGTGTCTATCTCTGTGTCCAATTTTCCCCTTTTTATAAGGACAGCAATCAGATTGAATTAGAGCCGCCCTCATAACTTCATCTTAACGTGATCACTTCGAAAGGCCTCGTCTCCAAAGCGAGTCACATTGTGAGGCACTGGGGGTTAGGACTCCAACATATGAATTTTGGAGGACACAATTCAGCCCGTGGCAGCATCCACTAAAACCTCCTGACTTTGGTGCTGTGGTTGTCCTACTGAAAAGGCCCCCTTCTCTACCAAAGATGAGGTCCTCTGGCGTTGTGAGAGGATGCACAGCTCCCAGACTTGTGCTTCCATGGCTCGGGCAGTCTTGAGCTCTCCATCACTTCAGAACAAACTCCCAGGAACTGAACGCAGCACCCACCTGTTCAATTGACCAGAAACGCAGATGCAGCACAGTGGGTTCTCTGTTCAGGGCCCTGAATCCTGAGATCAAAGTGTTGCTGCACTGAGTTCCCAACTGTAGGCTCCCGGAAGCAGTTTCAATCTCATCAGGCTATGGGAAAAGTCAGTTCCCTGTGGTTGTAGGACTGAAGTCCTCCATCCCTTGCCACCATCAGCACAGGGCCACACTCAGTTCCAAGGGACCATCCACATTTCTTGCTACATGGCTCCTCCATCTTGGAAGCCAGCAGTAGAGTCTCTCACATGTTGAATCCCCCTGCCCTTGAATCTCTCTGACCTCTGTGACAGCCGGAGAAAATCTCTGCTTCAATGGGCTCACCTGAATGGCTCAGGCACCCTGCGGTGATCTCCTTCCTCCCAGAGGACATAACACAGTTACAAGAGTGCCATCTCCCCCTATTCATGGGCTCCACATACTGCAGGGGATTGTACAGCATGTGTACGGCAGAGGATGGAAATCTCAAAGCCACTTAAGGTCCTACGTCTCTCGTGTGGCAAACCGTTGTGGCTGCCACTGCGGGAGGTTATCATTATACAGAGGCATTTTCCGCTTGCTTTTTTCCAGGAGAAGCACTACTGGACAGCGGCGTCCGAATCACCTCCATTTTCACCTCCCCAGCCCTCCGCTGTGTGCAGACAGCCAAACACATCCTGGAAGGTCAGTGAGAACTCAGTGAGCGGCTCAGCTTGCCTTGACCTCGTAGTTGTTCTCCAAGGGGCGAGGGAGTGAGCAGAGGTGGGAGCCAGAGCACTGGCAATGGACGGCCCCTGAGTCATAGACAGTTAGGGACCCGCCCTCTCAGAGCCGTTAGCAGGCACTGAGCCCCTTGGCATTTCGGGAATGCCAGGGTGGTAACTGAGGGCTGGGGCCTGTCATCGCACGGTCCACCTTTGGCAGCTTTTGCCATGTGGTGGCTGTTGTTTTTTCATTTTTTGTTTTTTGTTTTTTAATTCTGGGGAGCGGCACTCAGAAAGCCAGAGAGCTGAGAAGCGCTGTGGTCCTTCGAAGTCCACAATGCATGCGTGACTCCCAGGACCCGGGAATCAGCTACCGGGAGCTGTCCAGCGCCATTGAAGGCTGATGTGGGTCAGAAGCCGCTGGCAGAGCTTCTGGGGCTTCCACCGCAGGGGGAAGGAAGCTCCTGCCAGGGCAGGGCAGCCTGTCCTGGGGGCCTCGGGTCTGCTCTTCCCTCTGAACCCCGCCCCCCGCCACTGCCCTCTTTGTGTGCAGCAGAAGGATGCGAAGCAGCTCCCCCCCAGGGGCACAGGCCGGCCATCCACAGTGATGGGACACAGGGAGAGCGCGTGGACACAGGTGCAGCCAATGCGCAAATGTGGAGGCGGGGCTTGCCTCGACTTTCTCAGAGACACAGGGGTCAGGTCACCAGCTGAAATCATTATGACGGCTTCCTCTTGAGTCTTAAGGTCTTTTTCTAGCAATGACCTTAGTCTTCGTTTCCCTACACAACCTCCCTCACCATGGTGACGACATCTGAATAAGGGGATGAGGGTGTTCTTCTGGCCGGCCTCCCTAATAAGAGAAGGGTTGAGAGCTTCAAAAACATTTTTCATAACTTTACCCCTCTTACATCATGATTCATGGCCATGGCTTCGTTATTGACATATTTGTTCTAATTTCTGTGAATATTTTTCTACGATTTGGGTCTCTTGCATCTAAAAATAAGTTCTCGAAAGTGTTTTCTGACAATGATAATGTCAGTGTCTTTACCGTGATCCATAATTGACTTTTGCTTTATCTGCAGATAATTATTATCATTATTATTAATATGCCTGTTAAAGGGCACAAGTTGACACACCCTATGTTAATTCAGAAAAACAAGGGTACTGAGCCTTCTTCATGGGTGTTCATACACGACCAGCTCGGTTTTCAGACTGACATCTGAGACACTACGTGCTAGACTTTATTTCAATGCTGTGCCAGTGAACATCCAGATGGACCACTTCCCCAAGTGTGACCACAGAACTGTGGCCTACACGATATCCTCGAAAGGAGGAGTAGCTTCAATGGGCTACTTGGCAGACTCTCCGAACTGTCCCTCTGTGTGATCTATTCGCAGTGAACACCAGCCCTTCACAGGCTGCAGGACAGCTCGGGGCCCCGATACCCTGGTTTCACTCTTTTCTAAACCTGTTTGCAAAGGAACTCATTGCATGGACCGGGGATACATTTTGGGGACGGATTTTATTGCCAGCTTTTGAGTTTAATGTCATTCTCTCCAATGCAAATAAAGACACTAAGGTCTTTTTTTCTTCCACACAAAAAGAGATAGATGGCCTTGCTTTATCAGTCTTTTGGTCAAGGTATAAAATGCTTGGGAAGGATGAGTTGGGGGGAGTCAGAATGTTCCAGAAGATGTTGTATTGTCAGGCTGACATCCCATGTGGCTGACACCCTCCGAGATCAGTTGCATCTTTTGCATGGATCATTGGGTTGGCCAAGGCCCCATTGGTGTGCTCTCATCCTTGACCCATGGGCGAAGCCCAGTGCCGATCTGACAGTAGAGTTGCACCGGCCAATCAGGACGAGCTGGTGGTGCAGGGAAATGAGGAGGCTTCCCTTTCCTCGTGGACAGAAGGTCATCACTCCTCTCTCTGACACCTTCCAACTCTCTCATGGTTTTTGTCTCAGAAATGGCACAACCATAGGTGATCACAAAACAGTATTGGCCAAAAAAACAAATCACATTTGGAAAGATATTATTTAGGCCTGGGAAGAGACCTATTTACATAAAGCCAAAATGGAAACATGGAAATGATTAGCACTTGTATTTTGTTCAACACAGAGCTCAAACTGGAGAAAAAAATGAAGATAAAAGTGGAGCCTGGAATCTTTGAATGGACCAAATGGGAAGCCGGCAAAAGCGCCCCTACCCTCATGACCCTGGAAGAGCTGAAAGAGGCCAATGTCAACGTCAGCACTGAGTACAGGTGCGCCGTTCGCACAGTGTCTCCGCTGGGGTTTCCTCTTCCTAAGGGTAGTGAGGAGGGCCCCCACACTGAGAAGTTGCGTAGGGGAGAGAGATTGGACCCAACTCTGGATGTAATAAGAACAAGGGGGGATTTGTAGCTGAGGAGGAGAGTGTGGGTTTGGTGGATGAGAAAGATTTCTAAGAGGGTAGTGTAATTCTTATTAGACTGACCTAATGGGATTCTTGCTAAAGGCAAACCAGGATGATCAGACGTGGCGGGGGCGGGGGGGACAGACTTTGCTCAGCTATCAGGAAGAGGGATCAGATACCCAGGGTAGGGGATTCTTACTAAACTGACTTAACAAGATTCTGCTAAAATGGACTCTGCAAGGACAAGCACTAAAGCCCAAGGTGTAGGTCTATTGAGATGAGGGCTCAGAGGAGCCTGACTAGAGTTTGCTCAAAGCGAGAATCTTTGTCACTCTCGGCCAGTGGCCAACTCTTTGTTGTCACAGACCCCATGTGGTCTTCAGTGAGAATGGATGTTGGGACTAAACGGCAGCCCTTGGCCAGTTTTGAGCACAAAACTCGAGCCTCATTGCCGACAGGGAGCCCTGCCTGGAGCAGAGCCGACCTGGAGAGTGTTCCTCCCGACCACGCGCAGCCCTGACCCCACCAAGCAGGCCAGGGCGGCAGCCATTCCCTCTCTCCCCCTAGGCCCGCGTTCCCTTTCGCCTCCCTCTTGCCAGCTGAGAGCTACAACGAGTATGTGCGCAGGTGCGCGGTGAGCGTGGACCGCATGGTCAGCAGCTGCCCTCAGGACGGTGAGTGCCCCCACCGTGCTCGGAATGAGCCACCTGGGGGGTCAGGGTCTTCCCTCAGGGATGGCAACCAGGCCCTCTTTTGAACTTAACAAGTCGCCAGCCCCTTCCTCCCCAACCCCAGCAACTGAGCATTGTGTTGCTGCCCCTGTAGCTCCCAAGCACACAGACACACACTCCCTGTCCCTCAGGCCCTGGGTCCCCAAGGACAGCCTGTGGGACCCAGGACAGCGGGGTCAACACAGACCACCTGTGCCAGATTCTTAGGAAACAAAGAGAACAGGAACCAAACAACTAAATGGCAGGACATGTTTGAATGACAATGGAAAAAAAAAATCTGTATAAGTACAATCAATTGTTGAGGCCATTAGGGGAATAGGAACATGGAAATCTTAAAGAAATGTTGTCGGTTTTGTTAGGTGTGATAAGAGCAGAGCGGTTGTGTACAAATGCAAAGTCCTCCTCTGGAGGCACAAACTGAGCTCCGCTCTGTGGGCTGGCCTGATGTTTGTGATGGGCTCTAAAGTAATATTGGGGGGGAGGGTAGAGAACAGATGATACAAAATGCACTAAATACGGACGACTGTTAGAGCTCCATGATGGGTATGTGCGGTTTCATCAGACCCTTCTTTGGTGGATGCTGGAAATGTCCACAGTAAAATGTTGGAAGTCGGTTTTATAAAAAATTAAGTCAGCAAGTGTGTATTGAATACCAGCCATGTGGTAGACATCAAACAAAACATCATGAAGAGTCTAAGTGAAGAAGACACACTCTACCCCCAAGGAATTGGGAGGTGGCTGGGGAAAGGGGCACAAGCATCTGGACTATTATGAATATTAATAACACGAAGAAGAAGAAGAGTCTCAGACAGAGTCTGTACGAGACCACCGAGCCCACTTCCCCACCTGTGTTCTTTCCCGCCCTGTCCCTCCTCTGAACATGCTCTGGGGATGAAGAACTTTGCTGACAAGGAAAACAGGGAGGAGCCGAGCACCTGGCCCCCTCCTGCAGAGTCCCCAGGGCACCTGGGGTACGTGCGCCGAAACACCCTGCAGGACGAGATCCCAGGGCTTGCTGAATCCAGCTCCCCAAACACACTTGGCCCTGCGGATGCTTACATTGCTGGTTTTGACTGACATGAACCTGGGGAACATACTTGGGGAAGCCATGCTTTCGTGACATTGGGTTAACTATCAAGCACCTGTTGTTACTCACAGTCATTGCCACAGGACCTCAGAGGAGGGAAAGTGACATGTGAGCCCTCCCCTGCACTTTTTGGGATCCCACCCCACCCGCCCCTTTCTGGCTGTCCCACTTCAAGCCTCCACCACCAGCTGAGTGTCTGTGTCCAGGGACGGTCCTCCCTCCCAGGACTCCCTGCAGCTCTTCAGGAATGCAGATGCAGAACCATCTCTCGGTCAGCCCCGGTGTCTCCTAAACACCGTGTGTGTGGCACTCACCGCCGGGAGCACAGCTCATCCGTCCAAGCTTGTGGCAAGCGGCCGAGGCACTGAGGATGCGGCCCTGAGTAGCAGGAGCAGGAGGATTGGGGCCCCATGTGCCCCTGGAGGAGGAGGAGCACATGAGCAAGGCCTGAGGGTGAGAGGGGTGGGGAGCAGCAGATGGAGCAGCAAAAAGTCCAGCTGGGCCAGAGGGTAAAAGCTAATACCTAGCAATCCCCTGGCACAGGTGGGTCCTTCACAGATATTACCTGTTAACTCCTTGCCTTCCTGTGGGGTCCAAAATACAACCTCTGTTTATACTGTGGGACTTTGAAGCTCAGAGGGGCTGAGAGACTCGGGTGCCCGCATCACTCTGCTGGAAAGCACAGACCAGGGGTCAACCCTGGGTCCCCACCTCTCAAAACAGCATCCTAACAACCAACTGTGAATTTGGGGGCCATGGATACAAGTATGAAATTAATAGGAAATATCACAGGAGCTTCAACCTAAATGTCACATTGGAGAATTTACAGTCATGTTAGTAGGTGACAAGAACAAACTTCTCTGTGTCAGCCTGGCCTGCGAAGGAAGCCCTTGGTCTGATTTCCTCCTCTAGATGGAGCCAGTGAGTCTGGGCAAGACACCTCCCTGATTCCAAGCCCATTCCCACCTGCCTTGAAACTCCCCAGCTCTGCTTTCTCCTGGCTCTGGCTCCCACGTCCTGTCACCTGAGGGAGACTCACTCAGCCTGTGGACTCTGGATGTCCTTATCCAACATGAGTCATCAGCAAGCTCATTGTGCTCAATCCGCTGATAATCCTCACGCTAATCAGATCAGGCCTGGAGGGAATCCACCAGGTCGTCCTGTGAGAGGCGGCAGCTCAGATCACACACCGCGGCTCAGATCAAGGCAGGGTCCCATCCCTGAGTGGCCAGCCCAGACCCTGCCTGAGGACATGACGTGCTCTGAAGAACCAGCCGAATACAATGCGAGGTGGGGCTGTACTACTGAGCAATTACCAAGCACACCTGGTCTACCCCAGGGCCTCCCCCAGGGTTTTGGGGCACCCGGAGGTCATTTCACCCCAAGAACCTTGGGGACCCCCAACCTAATAAAAGATGCTCTCTGTGTCCGCTTGGACCTTGAGCTGTTCCTTATTCCACAGCAGGTGTTGTCCTGATAGTGGGCCATGGCTCGGCGCTGGACGCCTGCACGCGCCCGCTCCTTGGGCTGCCGCCCCGGGACTGCGCGGACTTTGCCCAGCTCGTGAGAAAGGTATGTGCCCGCTCCTTCCACCTGGGACCCAGAGTCAGGCACCCCCAAGGACGCAGGTCGTCACACTCCCTTCTGAGAAGGAAAACAATTATTCCGACAGCCCAGGGCTGTGGGGACCCCCCCTCCCCCCCATCCTCTACGAATGTGACCACCAGCTCTTGTGCAAAGGGCAGGCTTGGGCAGGGGGCTGATGGGAGAGTTCGTCATTTGGACCATCACTCTGGCAACTTAGGCCACTTGCGGCCCTGATAACATAAAAAACAAGACACGGGACTTTTTAAAAGGTCAGTTCACATGATAATTCCTTACAACTCCAATAGTTGAGCAGACTGTCCAGTAAGGAGTAAACAATTTGGGTAAAAAGAGAGAGGACAATGGCTGGGTTGAGCTGGCTTGCTCTGGGGACCTGGGGGAGAGAGAGGAACCCCCACCCCCTTTCCTGGGGAGCCATCCAGCCACGCAACACACAAGAGCTTGTTGTAGTTGCCAGCGTGCTCAGTGCTGGGCCCGTCTGTGTAAACACTTGCAGGAAAAACAAGCAGGTGACTGGCACATAGAGAAGGATAAGGGGTGCGTGGGCCACCGTCTGGGATGCTGCCAGCAAAGCAAAGGTTGCTTTTACCTAGTTAGTGAGATGAATCGGGGCAGCAGGCTCAGAAACTGAGACCCGCCTCCTGCCCCTGCCCAGAAAATCTGCTCAGGGTTGGATGTGACCTCGGCCCTTGTCTTTTTGTCAAATCGACCAATTAACTGACCAATGGCCTTGAGCCTGGGAGTGCAGTGGTGCAGACAACACCTGGGATAGGAGATATGCCCTCAACACTGTCCCATCACACAAGATTGTCATGGGGCCACCAACAGCCGCAGCTTGTTTGCCATAGGCACGGGCAGCAAAGCACCGCCCAACCCCGGAGGGGTCGGGGGCTGCAGTAGAGCCCAGCCAACGCTGCCAGCTCTGTATCTGTGCAGATCCTTTGGCTTTCCGAGCCCCGCCCCGCCCTGCCTGAAGGAGCACGTTCCTTCCTCCTCTGGAGAGAATCAGGGAGGCCCTGCACGTGGTTGCTCCGCCCCCAGATGCCGCACACGCCCTCTCCTGTCCCAGTTTCTTCCGGACCTGAGCCAGACATGCCCTAGCCCTCCGGGTTCCAGGGCCACCAGCTGACCACTGTCCCAAAGGTGGCTCGAGACCCCTCAGGCCACCCTGGGAGGCTTCCCTATAAATTTTCTCAGGTTCTGGTCGGCCGCAGTACCACCTGCTCCCTGAGGGTTGCTGTTGCTCCCACGAACATCACCGCCCCCCGCCCCCCACCCCCCCCCCACCCCCGCATGCTCTGACGCTGCCCGCCTGCGTGGCCCCACCCCTCCCCGCGGCCCCCGTCTCCACGCAGACAGCAGCGCTGCATGGGCCCAGTGTGCTGGCTGAGAGTGGCATGCGGTCGCTGTTCCGAAAACCCATTCATGTTTGTGACCAAATTCCCAGCCACACCCCTGAGCCTTGGCTTCCCCTCTTAGGAAGCCAGCTTTGAATTTCCAAACTGCTTCAACTTTCTTATGCTGCTGAGTTGGTGTCCACCCACCCTACCCCCCAAATAGGCTGCACTTGCTCTTGCCTGTCAAGAATTCATCAAGGGGCTCTGCCTAAACTTGGGCCTTCCAGACGGGGCGCCTGGAAACAGACCATTCGGGCCCCGCCCCCCGCACCACATCTTCCCCACACACACACTCCCCTCCCCTGTCTCTAAGCACAAGGAGGATGTCATGCCTGAGTCAATTCCGCATGGTGAAATTTTTGCAAATTTTGTCAAACCAAGGGATTTCTAGACATTGAAAAGAGAGAGGAGGAAAAGGAAAGCAAAACATGTAAAAAAGCAGGAAAAAAAGGCCTTAAAAACAAATATCTGAAAACTCAACACCTATACTTTTGTGTGATGCTGAATTTGAGACCATCGGCCACTCTTCAAATAATACACAGGGTTCTCAGCCTCAGACTGTAGACACGCGAGCGGGATAACGCTGTGTTTGGGGCTGTCCCGTGTGTTGTGGGACGTTAGCAGCTCCCCTGGCCTCCCCGATGGAGAGCACCCCCAGCCGATACCGTGCGCAGGCATTCCGCACGTCCCGGGGCGGCTCCCCACAGGGACCGCGGCGTTCGGGGCCAAGTAAGCAGTGCCTGTCGAAGCCCATCATGCCGCCCCCCGGGTGTGCCCGCCAGCTGGCTTTGGAACACGCCCAAAATCGATTGACCTGGTATAAAAATACTAATAAGCAAGAGATTTAACTCTGTTCTAGATCCCTTCTTTGGGAATGTGCTTCTGCGAAGAAAATAAAGAGGAAGGAAAGTGGGAGTTGGTGGCCCCTCCCGTGAAGACGCTGACCCATGGCTCCAACTCCGGGTTTAACTGGAAGAACTGGATCCTGGGCAACTGAGGGCCAGCGTCAGGTTGGCACAGGTTCACACGAAGAGGCGAAACGCGGGCAGAGGCCGTGCGACGCTGCGATCCGAAGGCCCTTAACCTCGTCTGATGTGACTTGTAGAAGCACGAAAAGCACTTTTAGTTTCCAGGAAGCCTGCCGTGGCCCTCGTGGGTGTTGCTGCCACCTGCAGATCTGTGACCCTGCAGGCCCAGTGGCAGACGCCCCTTGTAACACGTGTCTGCCATGTGGCTTGGAGGGAAAAGAGAACTGGGACTCTAATTTCCAAGAATTAAAGACCCACCCCACACACCCCAAAAGGATATATCCATTTGATCACTTTATTTTATATATTCTTATTCGGGAATTTCCCTGCCATTCTTCCCTTCCTATTGTGATCACGCTTTGGCTATATCCACACGAACAGAAAGAGGTAGAACATTCACTAAAATGAAATGCGAGACCGTCTACCAGATCAAAACCAGGAGGAAACTGCTGCTTGGTGTCCACCCCCCCCCCCCCCCCCACGTAACCCCACTCCAGGTATTAGTTTCCTGTTGCTGCTGTAACAAATCACCACAACAGAGTGGTAAGGACAACACGCAGTTTAACTCACACACACACACCCCCCCCATTCTGCTGCGGTTCTGGAGGCCACAAGTCCTAAGCCAGGTCAGCAGGCTGCATGCCTTCTGGAGGCCCTGGGGGAGGAGCCATTTCATTGCCTTCTGCAGCTTTTAGAGGTGCCCCCGTCCTTGCCCCGTAACACCCCCCTCCAGCGGGAAGGACAGCAGTGTCACCTCTTCACATCTCTGTCTCGTCCCTCTGCGCCACCATCACGTCACCTCCTGCTTCTGACCCTCCTGTCTCCCTTTTATAAGGTCTGATGACATCTGGAAACGGACAGCCTGTCACTAGGGACCCCCCTCCAAACCGCCCATGGCCTCCTCTCCTTGACTCTCTCACCAGATAATCCAGCATAATCTCCCCATTTCAAGATCCTTGACTTCATCCCATGGCGAAGGCTCCTTGGCCTCGTAAGGAACACGTGCACAGCTGTGGGGATGAGGACATGGACAATTTGGGGGCCACCCTTGAGCACACACCGCACTCCAACACATCAGGGCTGTTATTACAGGCGTAAGGATTTGATACTCTGGTTTCTCTTCAGATTATATAAATGCCTTTTACAGGTGTAAGGATTTGAAACACCGCTCTCGGGAAAGGTCTTTTTTCACTTCTCCTCTATCTCTTTTGATCAAGTGGAGGGGGGAGGTGGGCTTCGAAAATGGGTAGAATGGCTCCTTCCATGACTAACAGGCAAGACAAACCAGAAAGGGATCTGCCCAGGTGGTGCGAGTAAAACGGTGCTCCTGACTTTGCGAAGTTGGTCCAGGTGGTTGATGGGGGTCTCCCAGTGGGGTCCTCTCAGCCCATCCCTGCTGAAGAAAATGAAAAGCTCACCCAAGGGCGCAGAGATAGGACATAGTCACCACAGGACGGGCTGCCCCCGCCCCGCCCCCCGTCCCTCTGCTGGCACTCTGGGGTAGGCCCGTGCCACACTGACCTTACTAACATAATGGTGAATAAAAACTTTGCAAGTCAAGTTCATGGCATGTGGAGTGGTCCACAGATGTCCGGATTCCCCCTCTCGGGGATGAAGCTTCTGAGTCTCATGCCCCTGGGTAACAAGAGGGCAGACAGTGACCCTTGCGAGGGACACCGCGATGCGCTTGCATCTCGATCTCGAGGTCAAGTGTACAGGAAACACCATTTTGTTTATATTCTGTAATTCCAGTTCTGACCAGACACCACCCCCGCCCCAACCCATTTTGCCGCAGTGACAGAAACACCTTGTTTGGCCATTCCTAGCTTCCAGCATGAGCCCCGCTGTAAGGGCGGGGTCCTGGGAGCAGCACTGGGGAAGGCAGAGACCGGAGCGTCTATGAACACTGGTCGCTATTTGACTAAGAGTTCAATTCTGTGAACTAACAAGAAACCAAAAATTAAAGAAAGGTTTCTGACCCACTCTCCCTTTTCTCCTTTCCTGTGCGCGCTGGTCCCGTGTTTGTGAGCTTAGTCTGACCCCTGCTGACGGCCTGTGGAAATGAACGTCCTGTTATCTAATCTTGATTCTCTCACCGCGGGGCTTGAGAACACAGATCTGGAAAGGAACTCTCTAGGATTTGCTTGCCTCGCCCCATCACTGGGGAGGTCAGTGTTGGTCACATACCTTGTGGCACTATGACTGGGGACCTTCGCGCCGCCGTACTTGGTTCTTTTAGAAGATGAAGGTGGAGAGAATGGGAGGGGGCTGGCCTCAGGCTGGGCCGCCAGGGAACGGAGGAGCCTACCTCTCTCGTGGAGAAGGGCATAAGATCAGGCTGTTCCCTGGCCAACACTCACCTGTGTTTATCTGAGAAGAGTCCTCATAACTTTCTCCTGAAGTAACTCTTATTTTAGAACAAAATTTGAAATGTTTTAGGTATGATTCATGTTGGTGAATTTTATGGACTGAACTGTGTGTGTGTGTGTGTGTGTGTGTGTGTGTGTTGAAGTCCTAACCTCCAGCATCTCAGAATTTGGCTTTGAAGGGGTAATTAAAGTAAAATGAGGTCAGTAGGGTGGGTCCCGATCCTATCTGGCTGGTGTCCTTCTGAGAAGAGGAGATGAGGACACAGATACACAGAGAGGGAAGCCTGCGCGAAGACACAAGGTTCCTTCTGAGGCCTCTTCACGCGCACGAGAGAGGCCTCAGGAGACACCGGCCCCGCTACACCTTGACCTTGGGCTCCCCGCCTCCAGAACGGAAAGAATATAAATGCCTGTTACTTAAGCTGCCTGGTCTGTGGTTCTTTGTCACGGCAGCCCTAGGACACTAACAGATGAAAAACATCAATATAAACACCGAAAACATGTCCCTGTGGAGGGCTGACCATTGGCCCAGTGGTGCCGCTCAGCACGGGCACCTGATAAGCGGCCCCCTCATGTGAATCTGTGCAAAATGCCCCAGACCCACACACTGCCTCCCTTGACCCTTTTTGTACTTACTTCCACACGTTAAACATAAAACTCTGATTCCTGGGAGCAGGTTTTGTGAGGAGTAAAGGCAAGAGCACGGGGGGCCCAAATGTGCTCCCGCTCCCAGGCCTGGGAGGAACGAGGTCCACTGACGTCAGCGGCTGACCGCCTCGAGCTCCTCGCGCCCACCCGACATGTTTCCAGGAGACCCCAGGGAGCTCATGGGGGCTCAGGAAGGAGTCCATGGGACACACGCAGCCTCTGAGCCTCCCCCAGCGCCCACTGACCTCCTCAGCCTCTTCCTTAAGAGACCTCCAGTGGCTTTGCCCACCTGCGCCAGGAGGAAGGCGGGCACCCGGCTGGGGTCACTGCCCAGTGCTCCCGATGCCAAGTGGGGCTGCGGGGTCTCCTCCACTCCGAGCCCCTTCGTCACTGGTCTCAGGGCTCACAAAGTCCTACAAACAGCCCGCGCTGCTCCCTCGCACTTTTCCAGGCCCCCACATGAGCCTGCGGGGCCGTGGAGGGTAAAGGGAGAGAACAGAGGCCCCCCTCCCCACCCACATACAGAGCCCCCATCCCTCCAGCCCACACATCGAAGGCCTGTTGTCAAGGTCTACAGATGCCGGTCCCACAAACCTGGAAGCCAAGAAAGCCGCCCGAAATCCTAACACTGTGAGAAGAGAATTCAGCCAATGGCTCCGCTCAAGTTCAAGTTCAGACCTCAATCGCTTTCATTTATACCAATGTCATTAGGAGATGTGATGACAGAAGGTGTCCCGATTGCACGGCTGTGACAACAAACAAAACGTGCCTAGGAGCGCACTCACAGGAGCTCAAGAGGACTTCCACACCCCGCTGAGGGGCACAGGGACCGAAGGGTTGGAATGGCATGCGCTGTCATCACGTAGAAAGATGCAGCATCGTAAAGATGACACGTCCCTAAATGAATCCACAAAGCCAGTTCTAAAGTTCACATGCAGAAACAAACATCCAGGAAGAACTAACGTAATCCAAAAACAGTAATGGGATGATAACATATTTTAGAGCTCAAATAACTACAAGCGTGGCATTAGCCCTGGGTTGTAGATAGAAAGTTCAAGGGTAGAAGTAGAAACACCAGCAGCCGGCCCCGAAACTTGTGGGTGGTCACATGCGGGTGATGGGCAAGCTAGGGGAGTTAGAAGATTAAGTCAATGGTGTTGGAACAATAAGGCCATCATCTGGGGAAAAGAAAGTTGGAATCATTCATTCCTCACTCATTGCACATACACACAGAATCAAAGATTTAAATGTAAAAAAAAAAAAAAAAGAAATTGTGAAACTACTGGTAGTCATCATATAAGAATCTCAAAAAAATTATTGGAAAGAGGGAGGTTCTTTGTAAGCATGCCACAGGCATCCAGAATGTCAAGGGAGAAACAGATACATTCGACTAAAACATCTTTAAGTCTGCTTTGTAAAAAACACCATAAACAAAGTTTAAAAAATTAAAGGTAAGCTGGCAAAGCGATGAGCCCCTCTTAGATGCAGTCCAGCCTGCCCCCTCCACAGAGCTCCCCTGTCCATCCAGCCTGCGGAGCTGGCTCCCTCTGGACCTCAGGGCGGGTTTGTCTGCAGGACCCTGGTGTCATTAGTCACGTCCTGCCTTGCCCTCTGTTCGCTCTCACTTGTTTGTGTGGGCATTGTTTCTTTCGGCACCTTGTGATTGTGAGTGCATCAGGTTCGGTGCAAGCTCAGGACCTGGGCAGGGACTGGCACATAGTAACAGACCGTGATTCACCCACAAAACTGCTCTGTCCGTGTAGTCCAGGATCTCTCAGTCTCAGCACTGTTGACATTTGGGGACGATAAATAGTACCTCTGGTGAGTCATCCTGATACCCTAGTTCTTCTGATCTGAATGAACTGGAGCGGTGAATTTGGCTAACCACAAACAGTTAATCTAACAAGCCTTTGGCTCTAGCTTCTAGAATGTAAGAAACAGGGGATAGAAGAAGTTAAGGGAACCCAGATACTTCCAGGAGATATTCTACCAGGTAACAGCTCAGTCTCTTCCAAACCAGTGATGCTGGGGACAGTACAGAGCATGAAGTGGACCGGGGCGTGCTGGATGCTCACCAGCCTAGGGCCCTCCCAGACCTGGACGATGTGGTCAAACAGTTATGGGGTTGTGTGTATTTTGCAGAAGTGATCACCGTAATCACCTAAGTCCTCTGTCTCTTTTTTTCTGACACATTCAGACCCATGTCCCCTCGTGGTTGGTGGCCGGGAACAAGCAGGGGCAGGCTTAGAGTACCTTTAAGGAAGCACTGAGTAAGCTGAATTAAGGATAGACTTAGTGTTTGGGTGGGTAAAATATACGTACATTCCTAGCTTTTCTGCAGTGACTTCCATGGGTAGGTCCCTAACTGCTAGCTGTTCTGGAATAGCTTCCAGAAATACTCCTGTCACCCATTTTGTTAACTTACAATGGTGACGTAGAGGTGTGGGGTTAAAGGTCAAATCTCACTCAGAACTCATCCCACAGATCCAGCACCAGAGCATGTGACAGCAGAGAAGAAACAAGGCTGGAACTGCACGAGGCCGGGCACTGGTCTGTGGGAACCAATGGTGGCCTTCAGCCGCGTCTAGTGCGGGGGTGGTTTCCCACTAACCCCGGGCAAACAGAGTAGCCCAGGTCAGGAACAGGAGGCTGCCGCGTGCAGTTCTGACAAGAGCTGCAAGCCCCGGGCTCAGCTGCAGGCATGTGGGAAGGGCCCAGCCTTGCAGCAGCTACGCAGCAGCAGCTACGCAGCAGTAGCAAGCGCGGGCGTGGATCTAGGTGTTTCATGCCCTGACCCCTCACTAGGGAACAAACAAGCTAAAGGAGCAGCTGTCCTTGTCTTGCTAAGCTCCCTGTCAAAAGCACTACAAAATGATGGTCAGAAGAGGGGGCGACCAAAGTGTACGCTGGCCAAAAACATGGACAAAGAAGGCACAGAGGATTGTATTAGACAGTGAATGAGTAGTAATAACCTGATAGTTTTCTAGATGTTGCATTGTTTGTGAATGTGTCAACATTTTAGTTTGTAAGTTTTTAGAAATTTCTTTTAGTCTAAATAAAAGTTTGTTTTAATGTAATTTTACATTCGTAATGCTGTGTACCTTTTCTTAAAGAGGCCCAGATACTGTGTTCACAATATGTTGTTCTTAAAGAGGCCCCGTGTTTAGGGACATAAACACCAGATGCAGGGCATGGCCTGGGGTTGGGCAGACCAACTACGAAGGACATTTAGGGGGAACTGAAGACGCTTGCCCCCTGAGTGACTCTGGGGACAGAGGAGAATGGGGGATGCAGAGCTGGCCAGATGGAAGGCAGGGTCTGAACTGGTGCTGCAGGAGGAAGGAGAGGCTGGGATGGGCTGATACACAAGAACTGTGGAGGCACACAGCCTAGGGGTTAGGGTCCAGGCCACTGGGAGACCGGAGGAGTGTACACACAGGCCAAAGCCACGCCTGCAGGCAGCCCTGCCCCTCGGCCATCGGTGGGGAGCCCAGTCAGGGAGCCCCGAAATCACACTGACAGGCTGAAGCCGGGGGGAAGGGTGGGGGCACGCCCTCCAGTGCAGCTTCTGGGTCTCGCCCGAGCCTGAGGCATGCTTATCATGTTGTGGTTTATGAGACTCACACACAAGAATTCTTATTGTCCAGGTGTTTTCCTTGCTCTCTTGAGGGCAGTTGGAGAGAGGAAATTCTGTACTAGCTCAGCCAGAAGCCTCCCACTGCGGGTTCTGTGAGGCACAGTGGCGTGGCAGCTCTTTATCCTAGAAGACGCCACTGAAAACCAGGGCAAAATTGTCTGGCAACTTCAATGTGAAGAACTTGAAGCACAGGCAATTTCGTCAACAAAGGAGAATGAAGAAATTTATTTGCAATTGTAAACCATTTTCACAAACAACTAAGTAAGAAAGATTAGTAACTGATGAGCGTTGACACCCCTAGGGACAGGCACTGTATTGCACGGTCCGTGTTCTTTGGGCCCCGTCTTAGTCTGGAGGATCAGACTGTCTAATGTCATCCTCTTCAAAACTCACATTTCCTGGGAAGGAAGAGGAAATGTGAGTATGTTTGATAGTAACTTTTTTCCAGTTTAAAACTCTTTATTTGCTGGACTGGAAAATCCTGTGTGGGGACCATTCTGTGCGTCGTAGGACATCGAATAGCAGGATGCCTGGCCTCCACCCTGGAAGGTGCCGGCAGCCCTGCCCGCCACCCTGCCCAGCCCCCAAGGCTCCAGGCACGGCCACGCGTCCCCCGGAAGCCAGGCCCCTTCTTTAAGGTGAGTCTCAGAAACCAGCTGGTCTTGGAGTCATGGGCGGAACCTAATCCCTCCCAGCCTGGTTCTCCGATTCCTCGTGCTGAGTATTGCACGCACCTGGCCCCCCTTTTTCTCCCCCGACCATGGCTTCTGGGCGGAGAAGGTCTTACTTCCTTGGAGTGGAGCCCCTGCCTCTTGCCTGGCCCCAGGGCACACATCCCCCCCACCAGCCCCGGAGGAGCTCCCGATTAGAAGCTCACTCCCCACGGTGCTGAGGATCAAGTCCGAACGCCACCGCAAGCCCTCAAGGAAAGGCCATCAGAAAGGGACCCTGCCCTGCTCCCCACCCAGACTCCGCTGTCTGTCTGGGCAGCATTTCCTTCTTGGTTTCGATGTTCCTGCCACCTGCAGCACTCCCAGCTCAGCTGCAGGCGCGCCCTCTCTCGGATATAATTCCTAAAGCTGCTCCAGGGGAGCCATGCACCTGTCCTGTACCCAACAGTCACATAGAGGTCACACGACGGTCACACAGCAGGCACAATGAAGTCACAAGGCAGGCCGGTCACTGATGTCCCACGAGCTTTCTGCCCATTCCACGGGGGCTGAGCAAGCACCATGTGTCCAGCCTGCCCAGAACCTCCTCCCACTAGCATCTCTGTGCTGGTGAGACGCTGCATGGATGCGAGCCATGGACACTGTGCCTCTGAGGGGTCACTCTCCTCTGCGTTATGCAAATGAGAGACAATCAGTCGCAGGCCGCTAACTGGGAAAGCCAGGTTTCTGGGCCCCGGCTCTAAGCCACGGGGCCGCTCAGTGGCAAACAAGTCTTTGGTGCATTGCTACAGGGCTGGGGAGGGTGTGCCTGACAAGAGTCCAAGTCTATGTGTGTTTAAAGCATTTAGACAGAAAACAGCTTTCTGTGGTTTAATTAGCTCACATATTATTTTCAAAAGAAAGAGCTCTTAATTTATAGCGGAAACAAGCCTTGTTGCAGGGGCACCAGGCGCAGCGACCACAGATGCTAGGCTGTTCCCAGACCACTGGGGGCCTGTCCACCAAGATATCCCCTTCCCATCAGATGTAGGAAACTGTTTTGAAAGCGGAGAACCCTCTCCGAGCTTTCCAGCCATGCTCTCTGCACTCAGGATGAGACTTATACAGATTCCAGGAACCGGAAGCCCCAAGAAGACCCGAGATCACATCCCTGTCCCAGGACCTGCAGTGGCAGAAGCTTCCAGATGAATGGGTCCTTCAAACCCACTTAAACAGGGCTGGTTCCCAACCCTGCCAGCTCCCACACGTGCTCCTGTGAGTCAGCCCTGGCAAATCATGCAGCAACACACAGCCATGCTACGCACTTCTAACGGGACGCTGCAGCCTGAGGCCCGCTCTCCTGGTAGAGACGGCGATTAGCAAAGCGCAGAGAGAGAGCAGGCTGGCACCCACTACCCCTACCATTATGGGAGGCTTGTAAGAGAACCTGGGAGGCAGCAACCTTCCTGTGGGTTCGACATGAGTTCACAGAGGATCCTCAGGGACCTTCTCTAAGCCCCACAGCCCACGCCGGCGTGAACGCCGCCTCCCCTCCCTCCTGGCCTCCTGCTCCCCAGAGCTCACCCTGTTCTAAGGTGTCATAGCGGAACTCATCCCGGCTGTACTCGCTGCCCTCCTCCCTGAAGGCATCAGGGTCTTCCTCTCCGGGCCTCGTGAGTTCAGCCTCCCCATCTGAAGCGTCCTGGGCCTCCTCCGCAGGCTCTCCCCCGCCTGCAACTTAGCAAAGGAAAGCAGTGCCCAGCAGAGCACGGGCCTGGCTGGGGTGGGGGGGCGCTTCCTCGCCTGTGTGGCGCCCCCTCCCTCCTGCTGGGGGCAGCACCCTGTTCCTCCCTCAGGGGACCACCCCTCCCCAGTGCAAGTGCCCCAGCTCCAGCCCAGGCCTGGCCAGCAGAGCCTTCCGTCCCCAGCCATGGTGACGGGCTCAGGGATGACGACTCTACGTCCCAAGGGTTTTGATGACCATCTTGAGAAAGAGAATCTCTCTGTTCCCCGGGGTTTTGGGGCTGATTGGGTGACAACTTGAACATTAGTCTCCAAAGGGAAGGGGGCAGAGCCCAGGCCTGCAAGAGCAGAGAGCAGGGAGCGGAGGCCTGACTCAGCCACGCCCGATGCTGGTCCACCGGACCTCTCCACTTGTGTGAACCAAGGCATCGGTATTATTGCACTCAGGCCCACTTGACTCAGCTTTGAATCACTGGCAATTCTTCAGCATCCCAGGCAGCCTCACTGCTTCTCAGGAGGACCATTTTGATGGATGTGGGGCCGTGCGGCCCAGACCCTTCTTCAGCCTGTCACCCAGCTGCGGTCAGCAGGCTTCCCTGAGGTCGCGCCCACAGCTAACCACTGACCAGGGTGGGGGGATATGTTCCCAGGGACGCTGTAGCTCCAGGGTTTCCCATGGAATCAGCCGAGGCTGTTGAGGGCCTGAGCCATGGCTTGAGTCTGCCCGGTCAACCCTGCTGATCACCGCCCTTCCGCGCCCCGAGGGGCTCAGGGCCCGAAGGCTGTCCCTGATATCCTCCTCTGCTTGCGCTGCCCAGGAGACCGGCCCACAGCCGGCCGGTGCAGAGGCTGTTCTCAGCACCCCCCCGCCCCCGCCCCCAGCAGGCGCCTACCGTCCGGTCCCGGGGCCTCCTCCTGGCCAGGGACATCCATGGGCGGCTGCTCCTCAGCAAGGGTCGGCGTCCACAAGGCCAGTTCAGTGATCTTGGTAGCTTTCCATTTCGGAACGACAGTTACTAATGCCTCCTCCTCCTCTTCCTCTTCCCCTCTTTCCTATTTAAGTTTAAGAAAGTGGATTTGCCAACATGTGTACACTCAGTGTGGGATACTTAAAGGAAAGGGAGAGAGGACAGGTTCGTCATTGCGTTTGAGCTTTTGTATGACACTATTCAGTGGTCAGATCAGTTGCCAACTCTCCAGGTACAAGGCAGGGCTGAGCACGGCTCTGGAAGGAGCTGGGATGAGAAGCGGGGGCACAGGGGACCCGCGCTCCCCCTGCGACACCCAGGAGGCCTGCGGGCTTGCATGCCCCCGCTCTGGAACTATGAAGACGGCCAAGACGGCACACGCTTTTCAATGGCTCAGCCACATTTTCCCGCGCTGGGTTCTCTCTACAGGATAGAGCTAACCTCACAGTAAGAAGGGCCCAAAAGCAGGCTAAGACAACCTTGTAATGACATCAAAGGAGATCAACACTAAAGCTCTCATCACAAGGATTACAGAAAGAAAACACAATTCCAGAGCAGCTGCTTTCCATCACTCAGCTCACGGGAGGAAATCCACGGCATGTCACGACCCCGTGCCGCGAAGTGCAAACCTGAAGCGAAATCCACGTGCTTGTCTCTATGACCAACATCCACTTGAGATTTTCTATTTTATTCTATTTCAGTTTTTTAAACATTGCTCATAATCAACTGAATTGATATCATGACTCATGAATGGGTTGCAATATGTACTTTGAAAAACATTGCTCTAAGACTAGCATCAGTAAACTTTTCTGTCTACTCCTTGGGGCTTTGCCAGCCACCCCGTGTCTGTGGCCACCACTCACTCTGCTGTTGCAGTCTGGAACAGCCACAGGCGATATGCAAATGAATCGGCACGGCTGAGCTCCAATAAAACCTTATTTACAAAAACAGGAAGTGGAACCGTGAGCGCTGCTGGTGGGAACGTACAATGGTGCAGCCACCGTGGAAAACTTTGAAAGGTTCCTCAAAAAACTAACCGTAGAGTTACCACACGACCCAGCAATGTCACTCATAGGTATACACCCAAAAGGGCTGAAAATAGAGACTCAGACAGACACTTATACACCAATGTCTGTTGCAGCATTACTCACACGAGCCAAGAAGTAGAAATAACGCAAGTGTCTGTCGATGGAATATTTTTCAGCCATAAAAAGGAGGAAATTCTCTCACCTGCTACAATGTGGACAAACCTTGAACACATTATACTAAGCAAAATAATCCAGGCACAAAAAAACAAATGCGGTGGGATTCCATTTATATGAAATACCTAAAATAGGCAACTTCGTAGGCAGAAAGTAAATCAGAAGTTACCATGAGTCTGAGAGGAGGGGAAAAGGGAGATAATGTCCAACAGAGCAGCTTCGGTTGGGGAAGACAAGGAGACGCTAGAGGGGACAGCGGTCATGGCTGCACAGCAGTGTGAATGGACTTAATGCCACTGGCCTGCACACTTAAGAACGGTTAAGATGACAAATATTATGTTATATGCCATTTACCACCACTGAAAAAAAAATCAGAACAGGCTGCCACCAGTCCGTGGGCCGGAGCCTGCCACCCCTTCTCCAAGGGAATGCATTCCCCTTCTGGGGCCAAGTGTGAAAATTTAGGCTCTTCTGTTTCATCACAGTCAGGCCATCGCCCAGAGCATAGTGGTGGTCGTGGACAAAGGGCCTTGAGTCGTGTGCATTGGTTCATGGGTTTATTCCTGAATAGGAACCGTGGTCCGCGCTTACGTCAGGATTTCCCCCCTTAGATGTTACTGATGTTCGTCCTACTTTCTTCTCATCATCTTGAAATACCAACTTCTAATGTATATTTTGCCTGGAGGGCCTAAAACTGAAAACTAGTTAATAAGACATGTTTTATTTTTATCGCGTTTTTATTTTTATTTTAAAATAACCGCTCTGTCCCCAGTAGGACTTACAAAGGCTGGATTTGTTACTAGCGGCAGCGCAGCAAATTCAGCAGACAGGTTCCTTCAGGGGCCAGATTGGAGGCTTCCAAACCCAGGAAGAGCAAAAGCCATAAATAGTCACTGTCACAGTCCAGCAAAATGCCAGTCAAATGCATTGAGTTCTTGACTAACGTGTGGGTTGCACACACGGAGACAAATGTGCTGAGTTGTGCGACCTCCTGGGAGGGAGACGCGTCCCTGATGGCTCCTGGAAACCCTCCTCATCCTCAGACTACGTGCCTGGGGACCAAGAAGGCACGATGCTCCGGGTGGTGGCGCCTCGTTTTTAGCAACAACATCAAGCATTTTGGCCATTTCATATTTTATAGTTAGCTGGGGAAATGGCCACGATTCATGGCAGCCAGAGCAAAGGGGCTGTGAAGCAAAGCAAGGGAAAAAGGCCAAGGGGACAGGTTGTTGACATTCTGGTCACAGCAAAAAAGGCGGACACCTACTCGCAGACCTTGGGGAACCACAGGCTGTTTGGGGGAGCAAAGCGACTGTGGTTGGAGTGGCACACAGGAAGTAGACGCCACAGGAGAAGGAACCAGGAGAAGGGGGGCGGGGGGCCTGTGCGGGTGGTGGGCGCCCTGGCTGTGCCTGGGGCTGTGGGGGGTGCTGGGGGTGCCCGAGGTCTTCTACTAAATTGCCTATTATCTAAGGCCTTTGCCACACAATAGCGACAGGAATACAAACACAGACACACCCTCCCCCAACACCCCCCAACACGCACACACATATTTGGATGCCTAATAACGACAAATTAGCTGGTTAATCTGAATACGAACCACAGACTCTCAATTCAGTATTAATAGCAATGCTAAGCATTGGAAAGAAACAAAAACTTGAATTGGTGCGAGTCATCTGAACACACTTGAAACACCGAGTTATTGTATGAGTTTGGTGACATCATGGTGATACATTTCAGTCGTCATTTCTCGGACCTAACTGTCCAGAGCCCTCTGGCTGGCTCCAAATTAGCTGGTCGCTTTGAAGAAAAACTAGGTCTAGATCTCAATAATAACTGTGGGATGATATCGCTTAGCTGTAGACAAATGCAGGCAAGCGAAGAAGGAGCAAGGAGACAGGAAAGTCCCCCGAGACCTGGCGAGACCTCCCACCTGTCCGTCTCCGGGCCCGGTGCCTCAGAGCAGCTCTCCTGCCCGGAGTGTGGGAAACGACAGATTGCCTGCCACTCACCACGTCTGTGAGCTGATACTCCCCATGCTGCTCGCAGCCGATGTCAAACACGTACTTCCCAGGGCCAACGGGCTACGGGCACAGAGAAACCAAGAGGCACTTCACTCTTGAGAGCTCGCCCCCGGTCAAAAGTCCAAAATGCTTTAGAAACGTTACCCCCGTAAAACCAGCCCCATCACACGACGTGGGGAAGGCCATTGGGGATCAGGGAGCGCCTCTGTGAACTAACGGCTCAGGGAGTTGCAAAGCATAGGGCCTGTTTTGTTTGATTTTTAAAACTTAGCTACATTTTATCTCTTCGTAAAAGCAATGGATTTATGACAAAAATTTCACTGCGTGAACAGCCATAGGCAAACTAGATAGAGATAGAACTGCTAATAATATTTTGATGTAGTCTCCGTAGACTTGCTTCCAAAACAGAAAGCTTATTAAAAATCTGATCATAATTATAAACATGTATAATGACTCCTACTTTATTCTTACTTGAAATATGGCATGAATGCCTTCCTATATTTACAAATATTCTTCCACCATACCAGTTATCAACCTGGCATTTTATTCCATCGGAGAACCATAATCTATCTTACTTATTTACTGTTGCTGATATTTGGTCTGCTGATACTCTCCTTTGACAAAGACTACTGTAGTAAACATATTCTGAGTTAAATCTTTGTGCACACTTTTGATAGTTTCCTCAGGGTGAATTTTCAGAAGTAATATGTCTGGACAAAAGTGTGTACAGTATATACACACGAGAATAAGGCTTTAATAATTTTCATTCCCACAACAGCATTTGAGCCTCTTTGTCATCAAAACCTTGCTTTTCCCTGGGCTGGAACATTTCATTCTATTTTTACATTTTTTTTAATATGTAAAAACATCATTTTAAATCGTATCTTTTAAGTTATTTGTAAGGTTGAACTTTTCTCCAACATGTTGACCATTTAAATCACATTGATTAATGGGCTTTATCTATTAAATGTTGCAAATATCCCAACACCATTCACATATAACTCCTAACTTTTCTTTATAGTGTTTTCTATTCTATAAGGATTTGTTTTTATTGGGCAAAATCTCTTGGTTTTTCCTTTATATTTTGGTTTAGAACATTTCTTTCCTCATTTTAAAGTTAATAAACATTCACCTATTTTTTTCCTCTGTGATTTTCTTGTTCACATTTAAATCTTTATTTCTCCTAGAAAGTATCTCTATCTATAAGCTGGAGGACAAACTCTGATTTCAATTTTCTCCCAAATGGTTACCGAGTGGTCCCAGCCCGTGTTTTGACTTCTCCCATCATTCTTTTATTAATTTGAAATGATGGCTGTACCGAGCACTAAATTACTATACATACTTGGATCTGTCTCTAGACTGCCTGCTTCCCTGATGCAAATCTCTGTCCTAGAAAATACCCCGTGAAAGTTTTGCTGGGAATCACATGCACAACGTGTAGATTGGAGGAGAATGAGCTGCTGTACAAAGACTAAAAGGAGAATCTGTAATGGGGGCATGAATTACACGTAAATGAAAACTGAGTTTTAAGAGAGTCGGAGGCTGTTTCACCCACTCAGTTAAGCGTTGCCTGTGTCAGTCTCTAACCCTTTAATTTGCTCCGCAAACCCTTTCCTCCTCAGGGACAGTGTCTGCCCGGCCCCCGATCGGAGCTGCGGCAAACGCCAGGGCGGTGGCTCCTGAGTTAGTTGGGCTTTCCCTGCGCCCGACAAGGGCTCGGACCAAAGGGCAAGAAGAGCCACAAAGTTCTCCCAACAGAGATGACCTGTGTGGGTCCCCCGAGCCGGGGGTCCCCCTGAGCTGGGGGGCGCTCGGGCTTTTCTCCGGTCCCACAGCCACCAGGCGAGGAAGAGTTCGAGGCCTTCCTCCCTGGCTGCAGCCTCGCGCCCCCCAGGGGACACAAAGTCAAAACCCCCGTATGCTCAACAGCAGAAAATATTTAATTCTTCCCAACAAACAAGGGTCTCCCTTCTGACTCCCTGGCCAAGCCCCCACCCCACTCTGTCCTCCATGGGTATCGGGATGCTCGCAGGGAGGCCCGGCTGCCCTACTTCCCAAATGCAGAGGGAGCAGAGGGTTTCCCCAAGTTATCAGCATTCTACGTTCACAGGGTCACACGGGCTGGGGAGGAGGGCGCTATGTATTTCACTGGCAAACACCGCTTCCCGCTGACTTACGTTTTTGTTCAAGAACTTGCCCTGGTACCTGTGGTTCAGGTGAATGAGCTCAGCTGCGCCCTCCTGCTGTCCGTTCACCCAGGTCCCCACATACTTGCTGCCGGTCTCCGCATAGACGTAGGTGCCTTGCCCGTGCCTGGTCGAGACAGGGAGCAGAGAACCTTTCATTCCGCTGCTGTGAAAAGCCTTCCAGGTGCATAAGGCAGGCATTTCAATTGAGGGTGGCCTGGGTGGACACAGGCTCACAGTCATCTGTCTTCTATGGCTGCCCCATCAAAGTGTGCCTCCTGCTCGCTGTGCCCCAGCATTGGGAGGGCATCACCTGCCCGACAGCAGGGACCCTCCCTTGGATCAGCTGGTTCTCATTCGGAAGCGGCAGCACTCCTGGGAGCTGAGCCTCAGCCTCCAGAAGGTTCTTTTTCTCTGCCCTCACGCCCCCGGGGCTCTAAGGTGAAGGACCCACGTATTCTCCCCCACGAGTGTGCACCTGCCCCATAGTGCATCATCCCGCCACCTCGCCTTAAAGCCATGCAGGGTATGAACTGCCTGGCAGAGATGGCTCATGGACTTCGGTCATGATTCTGTTTCCTAATAAGACATCATGATATTCTCATCACATGAACCAATCTTCAGGACCAAAGAGAGAACCAAACCTTTGGTGAGCAAACCAGTCTCCAGTGTAGGTGTCGTTATTGACATAGTAGTAGACGCCGTGGCCCTGCCTTAGGTCATCCACCCACTCCCCTGGAAGAGAGGACACAAAAGCAAGTCCTGGTGAGAAAAAGAGCCCGCCCTTCACCCCCATCTCTTTCCACCCTGACTTCCCTCCAGCCCCGTCCCTGCCTGTCAGCGGGAGGCATGCAGTGGGGAGCCGGCTGGGGGGGCAGAGTCAGGGGGTCGCTGTGCACAGCACTGGGCCCGGGCTGACATGTGTGCTGAGAGCGGGTCTCACAGCTGGCCAGCTGCCCAGCGAGGGTGCAAGCCAGCGTTCGTCTGCCCTGCCGCCGGCAGTCCCAACACCGCACTTCTCTGCCTTGTGTGTGTGGTTAGTGATCCAGCAGTCACTTCAACGCTCGACCCTCGACTACATGCCAGCATTTCGCTCCATTCCCACCTCGCCACCGGGCTCCAACGCCTCTTTCCGGCCCAGCCGCCCAGGGCAGCCCCACCGGCACTCAGCTTCGTGCGAGTGGACACCGTGCCTTTGCCAACTGGGCCTCTGGGTGGACTCCTCCCTCACCTGGGTGTCCTTTCCTACTCACCTCCGGGCAGGGTCCTGCTCGCTTTTTGCTGACTTGACGGAATATACTGTAATTGGTAATGTGACCATGAAATTCCTAACACACTTCTACCACTAGGACAACAGCAAACTAACAGGTCAATGAGTGCCATCAGTTAGAAGGTACTGAAGGCGATTCTTCACCGAAATCGCACAATGTCCTCAAATCTGACAGCTCACATTTGCGAGAACCTTAACAGAGGTTTCCAAAGTCCACTACTACCCTAAAAACCAACACAGAGGCTGAGCTCCAGGGTTGTGTGGCATGAAAAATATGTTAAATATTTTGCAGAAAATTTCAAAAGTGAAAGAACAAAATAAATTGCAAAAGGCACTAAATTTCAAGCCAAGGAGAACAGGTAAACAAATATTTGTAACAGTCCCAGTTCACCTAACAATGCATTAGAGGCCCTGCCCAGCGGATTACAGTCCAGTGATAACAATTTTTGTCATGATTATCTTGGGATGACAAGCAGTAAACTGCACAGACCGAGGAGGGCAGCCGAGAGAAAGGTCACCTCCTGGGCTGGTCACAGGCAGCTCCGAGTCAGGGTCCCTTCTCTGAAGTGAGCGCCCTGTAACAAGTTTATTACCGTTGCTTCAAATTTAAAGTTAACTTTTTGTTTTTAGTCTTTCTACCCCTAATCCCTTACTTTTTCATCATTCTTGATCATGTCAAGAAGAAAGCGTTTTTCAACGAAGTTTCTTTTCAAGAGAAACCCCTTGCAGTTGGTGGGTGGGTGGTGGTTGGGGCTGCATTTTTCTCTGCGAGAGCACTTGTCAGTTATAAGGCTCTCGGCCCACCTTCTCCCCCATGGCTCCCTCCGGACTGGGGGCTCTGGAGATCAAAGACCATTGAAAATTAAAAGCCTCCTACGATAAAAGAGAACAAGGCGCCCTTCCCCCATTTAAAGCAGAGTTAGTCATTGGTTTGCCCTGCTGGCTCCCCCCATCCACCCATCCCCACCAGCTTGGGTCTCACACTTGCCACCTCACTCCAGATGTGAAAAACCAAAACACGGTTTTACAGAGGCAGCACCAGAAAACTAGAGAGATCAATCATATGGCCCAAGGTCACTGAGCAAAACTAAAAAGATCAGGGCTTGTTTGGTTTCAACGTGTCATGCCCTCTTCTCCACGAGCACCTGAAGAGCCAGGCACTGGCTTCCTCCTCCAGCTCCCGCCATCTGAGAGCTGCCAGAAAAGCCAACTTCAAGTCCCACCATCTCGTTTCAGCACAATTTTGTTATTAAGCATCGTCCTACTATCGGTCGCATTCGGCAGGCCGCGGGACCAGCGTGGAGAGTTATGCTCCCTCCCTCTCCTTCCCCAACCTCCTGGCCCTCACTGGCCCTCTGTCTCTGACACCCATTCGCCCCTCCAACCTCACTGCCCACCCCCTGAGCCTCCCCACTTCCCTGCCTCTGGCCGAGCTGCCTGCCCACCTAAGAATGCCCCAGGTCCCTCCTGCCGCAGCACTGCAGCCTCTGTGCATTCCTGGGCTCCCTAACCAGATGCTGCTCGGCCTCTGGGACGCGCCCTGCGCCCTATGCCTCAGGCACAGTTTGAGCACATGCGCTCACCCGCAGAAAACCATTCTGTGTCCCTACGATGGCAGGCAGCCAAAAGACAGGTGGGAAGAACTCAGCTTTGTGTTCACTTAGACGTTGTGATTGGTGGGTGGTTCACTGACTGAGATAAAGGTAATATCGTAGCTTCTGACTTCCGAGAAGGAACCGAGTAGCCACCTCACCCTGCACACTACAAAACCATAGGAAAAGAACACAAAAATTTACAGCTGTTTCCAAAGAAGCTTTGTATGTTAGCTGCCCTTCATATTAAAATGGTCTTCAATCCCTTTTTCTGAGTATCTTTTTTATATATTCTTCTATGGTACTCAAACTGTATTAACATCTACACCAAAATAAAAAATGACAACTGAGATTAGGTTCATAAGGGATTTGGTAAGAAATAAATTAAACACTAAACTAAATTGTTTAAAGTCCATTTAAAAAGCAGGTCTGCCCTGGAGCAAGCCTTCTAAGATCTACGGAAACAAAAGAGAAACTCCATCTCCGGCAGGAAGAACGTAACACTCTGCAACTTGGCCTCGGATTCTGGCAGGACCTCTGTTTTAGGATTCGTGGGTTCCGGCTTTATCTGGCAACGAGACAGGCAGCTCGAGCTTGCACTCGAAGGATGTGTCACCTTCATTAAGAGGTGGCGGTTAGTGATCACACAGGTACATGGGCACCCAGCCAGCGGGGACTGAGTGCTTCCCTACCGCCGGGAATGAGTCTGAGCATCCCGCGTGTATTAATTCACTGCCGATGAGAAAACAGAGGCAGGGAGGGATGACATCCCCTGGACGAGGTCACACCTACGGTCCCACAGTTCCAGCCCACAGTTCCAGGGCTGGGCTCACAGATCTTTTGAGAAATCTGACGAAACTAGACAACTTTTTCCCAGAAAAGAAGCCCAGAACATAGAATTTTGCACACAGTTTCTGAAGGCTCACGCCCACTCCCCGTTGGTCTCTCCTCCCAGGTTCGGAACTTCCTCCGTCCCTCGTGGGATAAGACTACCACTGCCAGCACGCCAAGCGGCCATGGGGTCTGGGGCAGCAGTGAGGCTCTTGGAAATAAGGGGACGAGAATCTTCCTGAGACATAACACTGGCATGTAAAGAAGTGTGGCAGAGACAAGAACGCCAGTTTAACAAGGCAGAACGTCTCTCTGACAAGAAGCCCTCAGTGAAGACACCAAGGTCTAAACAGCCAAAGTGCTCATCAGAAGAAGGGTCTGCCAGAAATGGAAACAAAAAAAAGGCAACTTCAAAGAGGCAAATGCCACAGAGCACCTGACCCCGCGGGCGTGGCCCGCTCCCTGCGGTGTGTGCTCGCCCAGCAGCCGACCTGCCTTCGCTCCTCCGCGCACAGGCTCGCGGGAGAGAATGTGCGGGTCACAGCGACAGTCACATTTCCCGTAATTACAAGGCTTTCTCGTTTCTGCACCAGCCCTGTGAACACAGGCACGCAGTTTGTGTTTGTTGAGTGGCTGACTAATCTGGAGAACTTTAAGCTTCCTCCCTCATCTCAGTATTCACAGACAAGTTCAATCCCCAAAGAAGACATCTGCAGCACAAAAGTCTGCTTTGTGAGAACACGTTACCTTCATATCTTGATCCATCTGGGTATATAAAAGTGCCTTGACCGTGCTTTTTATTTTTAACATATTCTCCAATGTATCGAGCACCATTTTTAAATTTGTAGGTCCCCTGAAACACATTGATTATAGGGTTCATATCATTCCTGAGTTAAATACTCACTCACAGAGCATTGAATATAGAAAAACACCCACTCAAGTCACCGATTCTGACCTGGCCGTGTCTTTTACCGTGTTCGTAGCTCCCCTCATACGTGTCCCCGTTGGGCAGTCGGGCTCTCCCGTGACCGTGCCTTTCACCTGCCTCATTCCGTTCCCCTTCATATTCCTGGCAACAACAACAACAACAAATAAACACAGTTACAGCTGCCACTTTTTAAGTGACAACCATGTGCTAAGCATTTTATAAATAGTTGTCCATTGATTCCTCCCAGTCCTTGGCCCAGTCTTACAGGTGAGGCAGGTAGCCACGCCTGGGCACTAAGAAGTTACCAATCCAGTGGGGCCATTTGAGGAGAGAAACGAGAAAGGTGACTGGGCAGGTGTTGTAGCAGACCCTGAGCAAGTGACTTTTTTTAAAGTGCTCCCCAGAGAAACCAGTAAGAGGGTGGGGAAACAGTGAGGAAAGAGGAGGTCACCAGGCACACGTGACATCCAGTGACGTCCCAGGCTCAGCTTCTTCCCACAGGGGATCCGGGGTGCAAATCAGAGCAGCTTGTTCTGGTTTTGAGCACTAGCTGCTGGCTGCGGGCAGGGTGGGGAGTAACTCCCAGGCGCTCCTGGCTCTCCCTACTGGCCAGGTGGCTCCAGTGCGTGGAGGTACTCCCCCAGCAGCAAAGCAGGTAGGAGCTGGGAGATAGATGCACAGAGCTAGCTAAAGGGTCCGGGCAGCCACGGACAGCATCTATCACAGCAGAGGTGCTAGATTTTTTCCATTAATTTGAAATTATCTCAACCTTGTATGCAGTGCACACAGAGAGGCTGTGGCTCCAACCTGTCAGCTAGGAAATGGCTCCCCTCTGGCGGAGTGAGGTTCATCTCCCGGCAGTGCATATATGCTCACACAGAGCCCAGCTCACCTCACTGGCTGTGCATCCCTTACTTCCTCTCTGCTGTCTAAACCAAGGAGTAATTCCAACGACCTGGGTCAGTTTCCACAAGAGTGAAGAAATCACATGTGATTATTGACCGATATGGTAATATCTTTAGGAAGCCTTCGCTGAGGTTGAGGCCTCCTCAGCATTGCTTGAAGGCTGCCAAAAAGCAGCTTTCCTCATTCAGCTGGGTCCGAGGAGCCAAGCTCCAGTCCAGAAATACTTATTCAAGAGCCTAATGGCAGCTTGGGAGGACCCAGCGGTCCAAGAAAACTGCCTGGATGGAGGGTAACAGCAAGGAGGAGGATGCTTGGGCTTTGACTTGGAAATCTTTGCCTTTAATGGGAGGGTCTGGGAGGGAGCGAGAAGGGATGTGGCAAGCAGACGTCATAACGTTTTACCTTTCACCACCAACTTCCAAAATGCAGCGCCTGCAGTGGCCAGCGTGGTCTTCGTCCCTGGCCGGGCCTTCCAGGGGACTGAACTAGTCTCCAGACCTCCCTACTATGCGAACCGGGCCTCTGGGGAGATCTGCCCGCCACACCGCACGCCAGGAAGCTCCCCCTCACCCGGAGCTCTCACCCCAAGATCATTTTCTCCCTCTTCCTCCAACTCCTCCGAGCCCAGGTCCGACATGGCCTCGTCTCAGGCTTCCTGCTCGCCGCCACCTTCTAGTCGGTAAGTACCAGCAGCCCGCCACCGCGTCTTTCGTCACCATGGAGACGCGGCCAGCCCCGCCTACCTCCCGGAGAGAGAAGTGGAATGGGAGGGCGCGGGGAGGAGCCACCGGGAGCCTCCCTGTGCTGTCATAGCAACGTGACGCATTGGCCAATCGCGGCCCGCGGCGCAGCGTAGCTGACCTCGGTAATACGTTTATCGGCTGCTAGGTGATGTGGCAACGACTAGCCACCTTTGAATCAGGCCCCTGAAGAGGAGGGCCGCAGGATGTGCGCCGGGCCACCTCTGGAGAGTGTTTCACCTCTGCCTGGCTGTGGGCACTGCCCCTTCCGACATCCCCCCGCCCCCGCCCCGCCCGGCCCCGGGCTTCCTCCGGCCCCTGCTGGCTTGTCCATCCTCCTCACCTTTCTAGGCTCTTCCACCCCAGTGTTGGTGGTCCACAGAGATGTATCCTCCAAGGTCTTTCCTTGTGTTCTTAAACATCTCCTCCTGATTCTAGGGGGCAGCTTTGACCTCTTAGCAGATGCGCGTTCCCACACATACACACTACGCGCGCACACGCTCAAACATACACATGCACATTCACACTCCCACTCACTCGCTAATGAGCCCTCTTCCTGTCATCTGACAGTCTCCTCCAGACAATTGACACTGCCTGCACGGGGCCCCTCGTGATCTGGATCCCAATTCCTTTTTCTTGGCCGAACCCAGGCCTTCTTTTTCGCCCTGTAAACTCTGACAATAGCCTCTAATTTAGCCTCTGGCTCTCCTAACTGCATCACACTGCTCCGCAACTCAGAAACCCACATGCAGGCCAGTCTCTCTTGCTGGAATTCAGTTTCTCCATGTTCAAGGCCCAAGACTTCTTCATAGACTCGTCACCCCCTTCCCCTTCCTATACTCGTTATGTGCTTCACACAAAACCAAACCACAGGCACTTCCCCCAGATGCATCCTTCATTTCCCCACTTCTGGGCCTTTGCCTGTGCCCTAACCTTTCCCTGAAATGCTCCTTTCTCCCTGCTTTATCAAAAAACTTAGCCATTTTTCAAAGAGTAGCTAAGGGGCCACTTCCCAAAAAAACACCAAATGCTTAAGGGTGCCCTCAGGGAGAGAGAGGGGAATGGGACTTGGAGAAGGAGGAAGGACTTCAACTCTATGTGTCACCCATCTATCATCCATCCATCTATTTTAAAGGTCCGAGTGTGACAAAATGCAAATTTGAACTTTATGTGGTGAGTTTAATAGTATGCAGTATGCATATTTTTCTGTATCTTTAATTTTGTACTTAAACATGTGGAACCTTCCTTCAGCTTCTATCCATCCTTCCAGTTAGATGTGCTTGCTGTCTCTCTTAACTCCCATAGTACCTCAAATCATCTTTGTCACACACACGTTCTGTCTCCTGTAACAGTCATCTGGGTGGTTATCTGATTTCTGGATACTCAGAAGCCATGCCCCCTTATCTTCCTCTCCCCACAACACCTAGAAAAATGTTTTCCCACACTCAATGCTGCACCAAGCCAGTGCAACCCAGTCCATATGGGCCTTTAGATCCCTAGTGAGATGAAAATATGGTTGGGTTTTTTTTTTTTTATCATCTGTTTTACTTCATAGACTCTTTTCATGTGTGGAAATAAACAAAGACCATCCAAGTGAGAACAAGCCATGACTATGTATTCAGAGCTGGCTACAGCAAGGGAGTAAGCCATTATCATTTGCCTTTGGCAGAGACTCCAAGGTAGGCAGAGAAGCGGGAAAACTTTATAGTGGAAAAAGGCAAGGTTCCGGGTGCACTCTGATTGGAGGCTGCTGGCCCCAGGAAGTGGCAGGACAGCTAACTAGAAGTAGGGCGTCCAAGGTGACGGGTGAGCGTGCAGAGTCAGCTCTCTCTCATTGGTCCTAAGTGGGAAGTGTGGGCAAAAATTAGAGAAACTCTCAGTTATTAGTCAAGTCCTGGCCTTCAGAGGCCAAATGTAGACAACAAAATTTAACAGTTTCTCTTATGGGGGAAAGTGAGGAGTTTGGAATAATAGATCATTATTTTCTCCTTTAAACTTGGCAGTTGCCACATTTACTGCAACTGAGCACGTCTGTAATAAAACATCACAAGAATTTTAAATGTTAGAAATCTGGAATGGTAATCAAGAATGTGCAAGTAAATCTTAGCTTTTTGCATATAAAAGTAAATGTGAAAATTTCAACTCTCAAGTTTGCTCTGACAAGGACAGCAACTAATATTTGCTAAGTTCTGACTGTGCTGGTATGTTTTTAAGAGTTTTATAGGAATTATCTTGTTAAATCCTCATGGCCGTTTCCCCATTGTACAGCTAAGGAAAGGGAACCATGGAGAAATAAAGTCATTGCTCAAGAGCTGACGGCCAGGGCGATTCAGGCCAAGTCTTCTGACTCAAGAGCCATAGCTGTTAATCACTACCCTCTACTGCCCCCCAGACCACTGATTTAAAGGATTAACTCTGGTTTTCTGGAAGTGACCTTAAACCATCTACCAAGCAGAGAGGCCCTGGCTCAGTAAGCCTTAGACTGAAAAAACAGAACGTGGCTCAAGCAAGTGCTGCCCTAAATCACATCACTAGCAGCTGGGTGCCTGGCCACAGCACTAGGGAATCCTAAAATTTACCATTTGTGGCCCATGCATATTAGTCCAGAGTTCCTTCCAGGAAATCTTTCAATACAATAATTTCACTAGACTCCAGGTTTCGCAGTTGTCCAAATAAGGCAAAAATGAAGTAAACAACAGGACTGCCTCCCAGCCTCCAGCAGCAGCCAGTGGACAAAATCCAACTCCCCATTCCAGAAGGAGGCCTCGCCCCAGCTCAGGCCAGGCACAGGGCCTCACCTGCTCTCTTCCTCCGGAGGCCTGGGGAGTCCTAGGAAGATCAGGCCTACTAGACTCCAGGTACCCCATCCTCCCTGACCCTCTCACCCCGCGGTGACTTGGACGTGCTTGGTGATCACAGAAGTAGCGCTTTCAAGTGTGGAAGCCCCTCCAAACACTTGCTTAACTTATCTTCCTCCTTTTTCGCCTGGAATGAGAGGCAAAAAGGGAAGGTCACCCTTTTCTACCTTTTCAAGGACTTGTCGGGAAGGCATTTCCCATAATCCACCAGCAGAGGTCTCCCAACATCCCCCCACCAATCCTTCCCATCGTCCCCCAGGAGGGGTTTCCCATCGCCCCCAGCAGGGCCGTGGTCCGATGCAGCCCTTGATGGAGAAGGGTGGATCGAGGCTGCAGGGCCTTGAGTGAGTGGAGGGGAAGAGCGCCCACGGTTCCGCCGAGCTCCATCACCCCAGTAGGAAATTCTCTTCTTGCCTTTCTTACCTGTAAGTGAGAGATATCCACCCTCTCTACCTAACCCTCCCCCCCACCAAGTGAAAAAGGAATGAGTAAATAAACGCCAGTTGGGCCAGCCATAGTCCATCTCCGCTTCTGCATGGGACTGCCCCAGGGGAGAGAAGGTATCTTGGAACCCCTCCTGGGGTCCCCTGCCTATCTTCACACCTTTATGACCCACCTCCGAGCTGGGGGCCAGGCAGACCGGCAGTTGCCACGGCAACTGGCGAGTCCCTGAGCCTTTCTTCTAGGCTACCCAGGACAACGCAGAGAAAAGGCCTTAGGAACTGAGGGGAACCAGAAAAATGCAAACAGGGTATTTATTTATTTATTTATTTATTTATTTATTTATTTATTTTAAATTTATGTAAGTGCCTAGCAGCTGCTCAGATGAAAAGCGGGGGCTTTCAGCAAAATGAATTCAGGCCCATCTTAACTATGGAAATGTGAGGTTATCAAAATATTTGTATTACAAATTTAACTGTTATATATGCACTTATATAAGCATACACATATAGACATATGTGTATATAGCAATAGATATAAAAAAGACAGGAACTGCAAGTCCTTTTTTAAAAATAGAGTTGTTTTCATGGTATTTAGTGGATAGGAGTCAGACCCAGGATTGGAATCCCAGCTCTGTTTACTTCTTTCTGAAACCATTTACCCGTCTGTACAATGGAGGCAATGGCGAGCTTGCCCTCCTGGCACACATCCACTAGTGAGGTCTAAATAAGATGCGTATGATGAGCGTAGCGCAATGCCCAGCACAGAGTAAAGCACTTGGTAAATGTTAGCTGTTATCATCATTATTATCAATTGTACTGTTGACGCTCACAGAGTAAGCTAAGCACCTTCTGCCCATCAACAGGTCTCTGGGGAACTTTTGACAACGGTTTTGGCTCATTTTCAATCGCCATTTCTTCCCGAAGAGGATCAAGCTGCTGAAGCTGGTTCAGCCAGGTAATCGTGACAATCAGAAGTTAGTCTATGATTAGCAGATTCTATACTAATATATATGAGGGTGGGGAGAGACTGCAGTTTTCAGAAATATATCCACATGCAGATTCTGAACTGTAAGTTTAACTGTTCAAGGGTGTGTCTCCTGTAAAAGTGGCAACCAACCAAGAGGAAGTAACCAGATATACATGTGCACACCTTCCCTGAGTCACACGGTTTATGGGAGGATATTGAGAATGCGGTCATCAGAGAGGAAACAGAAATTTTTCCGCCCAGAAAGTCAGATTATTCAGGAATGCGTCACACCAGTGGGGCGGACCTGTCAGTGGGGTCGGCCAGGGTGCAGTGAGATGTGAAATCCAGCAGACTCACATTCCACGTCGGACAGCAACTCAGGGGGAGAGACCCTGGCTCATCTCTGCTCCCCTCCCCCACCACATAGCATGGTGCCCAGTGCATAGTAAGTGCTCCATCAACATATGCTGATGCATCAAACATATGCATCAAACTGAATGTTAGATACCATTCTATCACAGAGCTGTACTTTATGCAACACTTGGGAAAGAAAAAAGTAAAGTAAATCGATTTTTAATCTTTTTTATGATCTTTTTTAAAAATTCTTCTTAAGTCAGATTCCATTTCCCAGGGGCTGCCTCAGTACCTCAGTTAAATAACTACAGCTGGGTGTGCTGCGTCCCTAG